GAACTCCCAGCACCCCAGAATTCCCAGGATAATCCCAGGAATTCCTGGGATAACCCTGCATTCCCAGAACCCCTCAAAATCCCCAGGAAAGTCCCGGAATTCCCAGGACAACCCCCAGAATTCCTGGGATAATCCTGCATTCCCAGAACCCCAGAATTCCCAGGAAAGCCCAGGAATTCCCAGGATAACCCCCAGAATTCCCGGGATAATCCGGCATTCCCAGAACTCCCAGCTAACCCCCAGAATTCCCAGGAATTCCTGGAATTCCCGGGATAACCCTGTATTCCCAGAACCCCAGAACTCCTGGCACCCCAGAAATTCCCAGAAAATCCCCAGAATTCCCAGGAATTCCCGGGATAATCCTGCATTCCCAGAACCCCAGCACCCCAGAATTCCTGGATAACCCCAGAATTCCCAGGAAAGCCCCAGAAATTCCCAGGATAATCCCCAGAATTCCCAGGATAACCCTGCATTCCCAGAACCCCAGAATTCCCAGGAAAGCCCCAGAAAATTCCCGGATAATCCCTGGAAATTCCCAGGAATTCCCGGAATTCCCAGGAAAGCCCCAGAAATTCCCAGGAAAGCCCCGGAATTCCCGGGGTAATCCCCAGAATTCCCGGGATAACCCTGCATTCCCAGAACTCCCGGAACCCCAGAATTCCCGGATAATCCCTGGAAATTTCCAGGAAAATCCCGGCATTCCCAGGACAATCCTGCATTCCCAGAACCCCAGAACTCCCAGCACCCCAGAATTCCCGGATAATCCCCGGAAATTCCCAAAAATTCCTGGAATTCCCAGGAAAGCCCCAGAATTCCTGGGATAATCCCCAGAAATTCCCAGGAAAATCCCAGAATTCCCAGGATAATCCTGCATTCCCAGAACCCCAGAAATTCCCAGGAAAGCCCTGGAATTCCTGGGGTAATCCCCAGAATTCCCGGGATAGCCCTGCATTCCCAGAACTCCCAGAACCCCAGAATTCCCGGATAATCCCTGGAAATTCCCAGGATAATCCTGCATTCCCAGAACCCCAGAAATTCCCAGGAAAGCCCCAGAATTCCCAGGTTAATCCCCAGAAATTCCTGGGACAATCCCCAAAAATTCCCAGGAAAGCCCCGGAATTCCCGGGATAACCTGCAGTCCAGAACCCCTCAAAATTCCCAGGAAAGCCGCAGAAATTCCCGGATAATTCCCAGAAATTCCCGGGGAAAATCCCGGAATTCCCAGAACCCCAGAATTCCCAGCAAAGCCCCAGAAATTCCTGGGATAACCCTGCATTCCCAGCACCCCAGAATTCCTGGGATAATCCTGCATTCCCAGAATTCCCGTATGATCCCAGAATTCCCGGGAATTCCCGGAATTCCAGGACTGACGTGGTGGAAGAAGGTGGTGCGGATGTAGTCCAGGTGTCCCAGCAGGGTGAAGAGGCAGCGCCGCAGTTTGTAATTCCAGACCTGCAATTCCACAGGGAAAATTCCCAGAAAATTCCCGGAATTCCACACCGGGACAGGCCCAGTTTGTAATTCCAGACCTGCAATTCCACAGGGAAAATTCCCGGAAAATTCCTGGAAATTCCTGGAATTCCACACCGGGACAGGCCCAGTTTGTAATTCCAGACCTGCAATTCCACAGGGAAAATTCCCAGAAAAATTCCCGGAAAATTCCCGGAATTCCACACCGGGACAGGCCCAGTTTGTAATTCCAGACCTGCAATTCCACAGGGAAAATTCCCAGAAAATTCCAGAAAATTCCCGGAATTCCACACCGGGACAGGCCCAGTTTGTAATTCCACACCTGCAATTCCACAGGGAAAATTCCCAGAAAATTCCCGAATTCCGGAGCAGAACAGGCCCAGCCCCACCCTGAGGCAGCGGCAGCACCAAATTCCCAAATTCCCACTATTTTTTTTCCTTTTTTTTGCTTTTTCCTGGGATTTTTCTCCGTTTATTCCAGATTTTCCCACTCAATTCCGGTTTTTGATCCCAGGTTTCTCGCTCCCATCCCTCAGTCCCGATTCCCAAATTTTATTCCCAAGAATTTTGAGCTGGGAAAGAGCTCAGGGATGATCCCAGCTCTTGCCAGGGTCTGGGTTTTTTTGGGGGGGAAAAGGGGGGAAAAAATAAGGAAAAAATGGGAAGAAAATGGGGAGAAAAAGAGAGGAAAATGTGGGGAAAAAATGGGAAAAATTTGGGAAAAAAATGGGAAGAAAATGGGGAGAAAATGGGAGAAAATGGAAGAAAATGGGAAGAAAATGGGAAGAAAATGGGGAAGAAAATGGGGAAGAAAATGGGGAAGAAAATGGGGAAGAAAATGGGGAAGAAAATGGGGAAGAAAATGGGGAAGAAAATGGGAAGAAAATGGGAAAAAAATGGGAAAAAAATGGGAAGAAAATGGGAAAAAAAATGGGAAGAAAAATGGGGGGGGAAAAATGGGAAAAATTTGGGGAAAAAATGGGGAAGAAAATGGGAAGAAAATGGGAAAAAAATGGGAAGAAAATGGAAAGAAAATGAAAGAAAATGGAAAGAAAATGGAAAGAAATGGGAAGAAAATGGAAAGAAAATGGAAAGAAAATGGGAAGAAAAAGAGAAGAAAAATGGGGGGGAAAATGGAAAAATTGGGAAAAAAATGGGAAAAAATGGGAAAAAATGAGAAAAAAATGGGAAAAAAATGGAAAAAAATGGGAAGAAAATGGGAAGAAAATGGGAAAAAAAAGAGAGGAAAATGGGTGGGGAAAATGGGCGGGAAAAATGGGAAGAAAAATGGGAAAATTTGGGAAAAAAATGGGAAGAAAATGGAAGAAAATGGGAAGAAAATGGGAAGAAAATGGGAAGAAAATGGGAAGAAAAAATGGGGGAAAATGGGAAAAATTTGGGGAAAAAAATGGGGAAGAAAATGGGAAAAAATGGGAAAAAAATAGGAAAAAATAGGAAGAGAATGGGAAGAAAATGGGAAGAAAAGAGAAGTAAAAATGGGGGGGAAAATGGGAAAAATTTGGGAAAAAAATGGGAAAAAATGGGAAGAAAAATGGGAAGAAAATGGGAAGAAAACAGGGGAGAAAACAGGGGAGAAAATGGGAAAAATGGGGGAAAAAATGGGGGCAAAAATGGGGGAAAAATGGGGGGAAAAAATGGGGAAAAAAATGGAAAAAAACCAGAAAAATGGGGAAAAAAGGGGAAAAAAATGGAAAAAAAAACCAGGGAAAAATTGGGGGGAAAATGGGAAAAAAAAGGGGAAATTTGGGAATGCTCACCTTGATTTTGTAGTCATCGCCCCCGGACACGAAGAGCGGGCTGCTGCTTGTGGAAATCGATGCCTCGGACCGGCCCTGGAATGGGAAATCCCTTGGATTCCCTCTGAATTCTCTTCCTGATTTTTTGGGAATTTTCCCCCAAACTTCTGGGAATTTTTCCTAAATTTTGGGGGTTTTTTTCCCAATTTTTGGGGAATTTCCCCCCAAAATCCTTGGGAATTTCTCCCCCTCCAGAGCCAACCCAGAAGCGCCAGGAGTTCAAGGGGATCCCAGAACCCCAAGAATTCTTGGATTTCTCCCATTTTTCCCTGGGTTTTTCCCAGAGTTTTTTGAATTTTCCCATTTTTTCTGATTTTTTCCCATTTTTTCCCCATTTTTGCCGTCGTGCTCATCGAACTTTTCAATGAGGGCGCACACGGGACCCGGCCCAAACCTTTGGGAATTCTCCCCCAAACTTCAGGGAGCTCCCAGAACCCCCAGAATTCCTGGAGTTTTCCCAGAATTTTGCCATTTTTCCTGATTTTTTCCTGTTTTTTCTGGTTTTTTCCCGTTTTTACCCTTTTTCACCCCATTTTCATCGTCGTGCTCATCGATCTTGTCAATGAGGGCACACATGGGACCCACCCCACCACAGCCTCCGGGGCTCCCCAGAACGCCCGGAATTCCCGGATTTTTCCCAGAATTTTTTCATTTTTCCTGATTTTTTCTGTTTTTTTCCTGTTTTTTCCCGTTTTTTACCCTTTTTCACCCCATTTTTACCGTCGTGCTCGTTGAACTTGTCAATGAGGGCACACATGGGACCCACCCCACCACAGCCTCCGGGGCTCCCCAGAACACCCCAGAATTCCCGGATTTTTCCCAGAATTTTTTCATTTTTCCCAATTTTTTTCTGTTTTTTCCTGTTTTTTCCCCGTTTTTACCCTTTTTCCCCCCATTTTTACCGTTGTGCTCATCGATCTTGTCAATGAGGGCACACATGGGACCCACCCCACCACAGCCTCAGGGCTCCCCAGAACGCCTGGAATTCCCGGATTTTTCCCAGAATTTTTCATTTTTTCCCGATTTTTTCCTGTTTTTTTCCCGTTTTTGCCCGTTTTTGCCCTTTTTTCCCCCATTTTTACCGTCGTGCTCGTCGAACTTGTCGATGAGGGTGCACATGCGGTAGTCCCAGAGCTGGATGACGCCGTTGTGGAGGCTGCTCAGCACCCAGGGCCGCTTGGGGTGGAACGAGAGCCCTGCGAAAAGGGGGGAAAAACTGGAAATAAACCTGGGAAAAACCCTGGGAAATAAACCTGGGAAAGGGCGGGGAAAGGGGGGAAATAAACCTGGGAAAAGCCTGGGAAATAAACCTGGGAAAAACCTGGGAAATAAACCTGGGAAAAACCTGCGATCAGACCCCAAATCCCCCCTGGATCAGATCCCAAACCGCCCCTGGATCCCCCCTTCAGGCCCCTCCATTCCCCTCTCCAGCCGCTCCGGGCCCTCCCTCCATGACGGGATCCCAGCTTCCCCCCCCCAGTTCCGGCTCCCCATTCCAGAACCCCGCTTTATCCCGGTTTTTCCCGCTTTTTCCCCGCTTTATCCCGGTTTTTCACCTTTCACCCGCGCGGATTTGGTCTCGAATTTGGTCAACATGGTCCCAGCCCGGCCCGGCCGCAACCCGGAACCTCCACGTCGGCACCGCGGGAACGCCCCGGAAGCGGCACCGCTTTTCCTCTGCGTCACTTCCGCCGGATGGCGGAAGTGGAGTGGCCACGGGCGGTGATGGCGGCCGGGCCGGGCCAGGATTCCCCGGGAATGGCCCCGGGAACGGCCCGGAATTCCATGGGAACGGCCCGGAATTCCATGGGAACGGCCTGGAATTCCCTGGGGCTGCTCCGCGCTCTGCTCGTGGCCGCGCTGGCGGCGGGTGAGACCTGAGGGGGAGCGGGGAAGGGCGGCCTGGGGCTCCTGAGAGGAGCGGAGGGGGCGAGGCCTCCCGGGGCACTTTTGGGGGTCCCCAATTCCCCTTTTGGGGTCCCCAATTCCCCTTTTGGGGTCCCCAGTTCCCCCTTTGGGGTCCCCAATTCCCCTTTGGGGTCCCCAATTCCCCTTTTCGGGTCCCCAATTCCCCTTTTGGGGTCCCCAATTCCCCTTTTGGGGTCCCCAGTTCCCCCTTTGGGGTCCCTAATTCCCCCTTTGGGGTCCTTGTTGGCTCTTTTGGGGTCCCCAGTTTCCCCTTTTGGGGTCCCTGTGTCCCCGGCTCCCGTTCCCTTTTCCTTTTCCCAGCCCATTCCCAGGTTTTGGGGTTAAACCCAGGCAAGGGTCTCTTCCCTGTTTCCCTGCCCCATTCCTGGTGTTTCCCAGCCCATTCCCAGTTTTTGATCCCGTTTTTCCAGCCCCGTTCCCAGTCTCTGATCCCGGTCTTTCCCAGCCCCATTCCCAGGTTTTGATCCTGGTTTTTCCTGTGACATTCCCAGTTTCTGATCCCAATTTTTCCCAGTCCTTGGTCCCATTTGCCCCAGCCCGTTCCCAGGTTCTGATCCCATTTATCCTGTGCCATTCCTGGCTTTTGATCCCGTTTTTCCCTGTTCCATTCCCAGGTTTTGATCCCAGTCATTCCCAATCCCTGATCCCATTTGTCCCATGCCATTCCCAGGTTTTGATCCCAGTCATTCCCAGTGTCTGATCCCATTTTTCCCCTGCCATTCCCAGTCTCTGCTGCTGGTGTTTCCCTGCCCCGTCCCCAGTCCCTGATCCCATTTTCCCGGTTTTTCCCCGTTTTTGACCCCGTTTTTCCCGGTTTTTTCCCCATTTTGATCCCGTTTTTCCATGCCATCCCCAGTCTCTGCTCCCGGTGTTTCCCAGCCCCTGACCCCCGTTTTTCCCCGTTTTTCCCCGTTTTTCCCAGTTTTTCCCCATTTTTGACCCCGTTTTTCCCCGTTTTCCCCGTTTTTCCCCGTTTCTGACCCCGTTTTTCCCGTTTTTCCCCGTTTTTCCCCGTTTTTCCCCGTTTCTGACCCCATTTTTCCCGTGCCACCCCAGGTTCCTGCCAGGGCAATTCAGTGCACAGGAAGATTTACATCAGCCTGAACCACACAGCGCCTGCGTGCGCCTGCTCAACGCCACGCACCAGATCGGCTGCCAGTGTGAGCAGAAACCTGGGAATGCCGGGAATTCCGGGAATTCTGGGAATGCTGGGAATGCTGGGGGTGTGAGGGAGCCTCCCTGCCTGTGTGAGATATCCTGGGAATTTTGGGAATTTGGGAATTCTAGGAAAATCTGGGGAATGCTGGGGGTGCTGCGTGCCATGTACCAGATCGGCCGCCAGTGTGAGGAATTCTGGAATTCCTGGGAATTCCTGGGGATTTGGGAATGCTGGGGGTGTCTGAGGGAGCCTCCCAGTGCTGCTGGCAGTGGCAGAGCCCCTCAGCTCCCTGCCCTGCTTTTCCAGGGAATTTTGGGAATTCTGAGGGGACAAATCCCACATTCCACCCCACAGCTCTTCCCCTCAACCCCTCATCCCCCTGCCATGGTGTTCCATGGGAATCCACGGATTTTTTGTGGCATTCCCTGGAATCCTGAGGGGACAAATCCCGCATTTCCACCCCACAGCTCTCCCTCACCCCGCTCCCCTGCTATTCCATAGAAACCCATGGATTTTCCATGGGAATTTTGGGAATCCTGAGGGGACAAATCCCACATTTCCATTCCACAGCTCTTCCCTGAATTCCTCAGCTCTCTGCCTTGGTTTTCCAGAGAATTTTGGGAATCCTGAGGGGACAAATCCCACATTTCCACCCCACAGCTCTCCCTCACCACGCTCCCCTAGTATTCCATGGGAATCCATGGATTTTTCGTGGGAATTTTGAGAATTCTGAGGGAACAAATCCCACATTTCCACTCCACAGCCCTCCCTCACCCTGCTCCCCTAGTATTCCATGGATTTTTCATGGGAATTTTGGGAATTCTGAGGGGACAAATCCCAAATTTCCACCCCGCAGCTCTTCCCCTCAACCCCTCACCCCGCTCCCCTGCTATTCCATGGAACCCCCCGGATTTTTCCTGGCAATCCCGGGATTCCTGGGGCTCAGATCCCGTTTTTCCCTCCGCAGCCTCGCTGAGCGGGACACGGGCGTGATCCACGTGGTGGAGCAGGAGCAGGACCTGGAGTGGGCCCTGTCCAAGGGCCCCCACCCTCCCTACATGATCCTGCTGGACGGGAAGCTCTTCTCCAGGTGGGAATTCCGGGATCGGGAACGCCAAAATCCGGGATCAAATCCCCTTTTCAGGCGCTCCTGGGGTTCCAGGGCTGCTGTCCTTGCTGAGCTTTGCCTTTCCTGCTTTTCTTTCCTTTTGTGGGATTGGCTTCTCAAATCCATGGAATGCTGATCCATGGTTTTACAAAAATATGGAAAATAAACCTTGGGATGGACTTGGGGCTCCTTTTCCTGGGAAAAGCAGGGAAGATTCTCCCTGTTGATTTTCCCCTCATTTTAGGCCATTTTCCAAGGGATTTTCCATTATTTTTTAAGTTTATCCCCAGATTTCAATTCCTCATGGATAAATCCCAAATTCCAGCCCTTTTTTTCCAGGGAAGTTTTGCTGCACCTGAGGGAATTTCCAGGATTTCCGGCCTTGCTGGTTTTCCACCATTTTGGGCCCTCACAAAATAAAAACCTCAGCATTTTCCCCTTCATTTCCTTGATTTATCCCTGGATTTCACTTTTCTCTGGATAAATCCCAAATTCCAGCCCTTTTTCCCCATTTCCAGGGAGGTTTTGCTGCACCTGAGGGAATTTCAGGATTTCCACCCTTGCTGGTTTTCCACCATTTTGGGCCCTCACAAAATAAAATTCCTGGGCCTTTTTCTTCATTCCCTTGATTCATCCCCAGATTTCAATTCCTGATGGATAAATCCCAAATTCCAGCCCTTTTTTCCCCATTTCCAGGGAGGTTTTGCTGCACCTGAGGGAATTTCCAGCCTTGTTGGTTTTCCACCATTTTGGGCCCTCCCAAGATAAAAATCTCGGCATTTTTCCCTTCATTTCCTTGATTTATCCCTGGATTTCACTTTTCTCTGGATAAATCCCAAATTCCAGCCCTTTTTCCCCATTTCCAGGGAGGTTTTGATGCAGCTGAAAGGAACCTCCCGGATTTCAGGCCTGGCCGTGGCCGCTGCCTCTCCCGCCCCTTCCCAAGGATTTTCCCCAGGATTGAAGTGTCCCAACGATGGATTTGGTGAGCAAAATCCCAAACTTTTTCCCTTTTTTTTCCCCTTTTTTTTTCCCTTTTTTTTCCCCCTTTTTTTTCCCCTTTTTTTCCCCTTTTTTTTCCCCTTTTTTTCCCCTTTTTTTCCCCTTTTTTTTCCCCTTTTTTTCCCCTTTTTTTTCCCCTTTTTTTCCCCTTTTTCCCCCTTTTTTTTCCCCATTTTTTCCTCCATTTCCCCGTTTTCTTCGCATTTTTCTTCCATTTTTTTCTTGGGTTTTCCTCCTGTTTTTCCCCTCTTTTTTCCCATTTTCTCCCCCCCATTTTCCCCCTGGTTTTCCTCATTTTATCCCATTTTTTTTCACTGTTCTTTTTGCATTTTCACCTTTTTTCCCATTTTCCTTTCCATTTTCCCCCGTTTTGTTCCCCTTTTTCAGGTGTTTACTCAGACTCCTGTGGCCCTCAGTTCTTGCCCAATTTTTACCCATTTTCCCCCGTTTTGTCCCCATTTTTCAGGTGTTTACTCAGACTCCTGTGGCCCTCAGTTCTTGCCCAATTTTTGCCCATTTTTCACCGTTTTTCCCCCATTTTTCAGGCGTTTATTCAGACACCTATGGCCTGCAGTTCTTGCCCATTTTTCTCTGTTTTATCCCCATTTTTCAGGTGTTTATTCAGACACCTGCAGGACACAGTTTTTACCCATTTTTCACCATTTTCCCCCCATTTTTCAGGTGTTTATTCAGACTCCTATGGCCCTCAGTTCTTGCCCAATTTTTGCCCATTTTTTACCATTTTTCCCCCCATTTTTCAGGCATTTATTCAGACACCTGCAGCCCACAGTTCTTGCCCAGTTTTTGCCCATTTTTCACCATTTTTCCCCCCATTTTTCAGGCGTTTACTCAGACTCCTATGGCCCTCAGTTCTTGCCCAGTTTTTACCCATTTTTCACCATTTTCCCCCATTTTTCAGGCGTTTATTCAGACTCCTATGGCCCTCAGTTTTTGCCCATTTTTCACCATTTTTCCCCCATTTTTCAGGCGTTTACTCAGACTCCTATGGCCCTCAGTTCTCTCACTGCAATGGCTCTAAGTGGCTCCAGTTTTTTGCCCAATTTTCCCCCATTTTTCACCATTTTTCCCCCAATTTTTCAGGCGTTTATTCAGACACCTATAACCTGCAGTTCTTGCCCATTTTTCCCCCCATTTTTCACCATTTTCCCCCATTTTTCAGGCGTTTACTCAGACTCCTATGGCCCTCAGTTCTTGCCCAATTTTTACCCATTTTTCTCTGTTTTTCCCCCATTTTTCAGGCGTTTATTCAGACACCTGTGGCTCACAGTTCTTACCCAGTTTTTGCCCATTTTTCTCTGTTTTTCCCCCATTTTTCAGGCATTTATTCAGACACCTATGGCCCTCAGTTCTTGCCCATTTTTACCCATTTTTTCCCCATTTTTCAGGCGTTTATTCAGACTCCTATGGCCCACAGTTCTTACCCAGTTTTTCCCCATTTTTTACCATTTTTCCCCCATTTTTCAGGCGTTTATTCAGACTCCTATGGCCCTCAGTTCTTGCCCAATTTTTACCCCATTTTTCACCATTTTTCCCCCATTTTTTCAGGCGTTTATTCAGACTCCTATGGCCTGCAGTTCTTGCCCAGTTTTGCCCATTTTTCACCATTTTTCCCCATTTTTCAGGCATTTACTCAGACTCCTATGGCCCTCAGTTCTTGCCCAGTTTTTGCCCATTTTTCACCATTTTCCCCCCATTTTTCAGGTGTTTACTCAGACTCCTATGGCCCTCAGTTCTTGCCCAATTTTTGCCATTTTTCACCGTTTTTCCCCCATTTTTCACCATTTTCCCCCCATTTTTCACCATTTTCCCCCCCATTTTTCAGGTGTTTATTCAGACTCCTATGGCCCCGCAGTTCTTACCCAGTTTTTTCCCCATTTTTCACCGTTTTCCCCCATTTTCCCCCATTTTTCCCCCATTTTTCAGGTGTTTATTCAGACTCCTATGGCCCTCAGTTCTTGCCCAATTTTTACCCATTTTTTACCATTTTTCCCCCATTTTTTACCATTTTTCCCCCATTTTTCAGGCGTTTATTCAGACTCCTATGGCCCTCAGTTCTTACCCAGTTTTTGCCCATTTTTCACCGTTTTTCCCCCATTTTTCACCATTTTTCCCCATTTTTCAGGCGTTTACTCAGACACCTATGGCCCTCAGTTCTTGCCCAATTTTTACCCATTTTTCACCATTTTCCCCCATTTTTCAGGCGTTTATTCAGACACCTATGGCCCTCAATTCTTGCCCAATTTTTACTCATTTTTCACCGTTTTTCCCCCATTTTTTACCATTTTTCCCCATTTTTCAGGCGTTTATTCAGACTCCTATGGCCCTCAATTCTTGCCCAATTTTTACCCATTTTTCACCGTTTTTTCCCCCATTTTTCACCGTTTTTCCCCCATTTTTCACCGTTTTTCCCCCATTTTTCAGGTGTTTATTCAGACTCCTATGGCCCTCAGTTCTTGCCCAGTTTTTGCCCATTTTTCACCGTTTTTCTCCCATTTTTCACCATTTTCCCCCATTTTTCAGGCGTTTATTCAGACACCTATGGCCCTCAGTTCTCTCACTGCAACGGCTCCGAGTGGAACCCGGGCGGCTCCGGGATCTCCTACGAGGATTTTCCTTCCCCATTTTCCTGCTGCAGGACGCCAACGAGACCCAGCTCATCAAAGAGGTGAGGGGGGCACGGGGTGGGGAAAAAATGCCTTAAAAATCTGTTTAAATCCTTTGGAAATCCCTTAAAACCCAATTAAAAATCAGTTGAATCCATAAAAACCCGTTGAAAGTTCATTACTCCACAAAGCCCATTGGAAATCCATTGAAAAGTCATTAAAGATCGGTAAAATCAAATTAAAAATCATTTAAATCCTTTGAAAATTTATTAAAATGCGTTAAAACCTTAAAAGTCCATTGAAAATTCATTAGAATCATTCATGCTGTAGAAGTCCATTGAAAATTTATTAAAATGCATTAAAACTTTAAAAGTCCATTGAAAATTCATTAGAATTCATGTCAATCTGTGGAAGTCCATTGAAAATTTATGAAAATGCATTAAAACCTTAAAAGTCCATTTAAAATTTATGAAATGCATTAAGACCTTGAAAGTCCATTGAAAAGTCATTAAAATCCATTAAACATTAAAAATCCATTAAAAATGTTTAAAATTCCATTAAAATTCCATTAAAAATCTTTAAAATTCCATTAAAAATTCATTAAAAATCCATTAAAAATTCCATTAAAAATCCATTAAAAATCCATTAAAAATCTTTAAAATTCCATTAAAATTCCATTAAAAATCTTTAAAAATCCATTAAAATTCCATTAAAAATCCATTAAAATTCCATTAAAATTCCATTAAAAATCTTTAAAATTCCATTAAAATTCATTAAAATCTTTAAAATTCCATTAAAAATCCATTAAAAAATCATTTAAAATCTTTAAAATTCCATTAAAATTCCATTAAAAATCCATTAAAATTCCATTAAAAATCCATTAAAAATTTTTAAAATTCCATTAAAAATCCATTAAAAATCCATTTAAAATCCATTAAAAATCTTTAAAATTCCATTAAAATTCCATTAAAATACCATTAAAATCCATTAAAAATCCATTAAAATTCCATTAAAAATCTTTAAAATTCTATTAAAAATTACATTAAAATTCTATTAAAAATTACATTAAAATTGCATTAAAAATCTTTAAAATTCCATTAAAAATCCATTAAAAATCTTTAAAATTCTATTAAAAAATCCATTAAAAATCCATTAAAAATCCATTAAAAATCCATTTAAATTCCATTAAAATTCCATTCAAATTCCATTCAAACCCCATTCAAACCCCAAAAACCCCCAATATTAAAACCCCCCATAACAGCAGAATTTTCGTGCCGTGTTTGTGCCTGCAGTGTTTCCGTGCCCACAACGTTCCCAGCGCTCCGGGCTCGGTGCCGCAGTTCCCGCTCTGTGCCCTGCAGCTGCAGTCCCACATGCACGCGGCCGCCAGCACCCAGAGCTGCATGCGCCGCAGCTCCCTGCAGAGCGCCTTCAGCATCAACCCAGGTCAGTGGGGCTGCAATGGGGCTGCAATGGGGCTGCAATGGGGCTGTGAATGGGGCTGCAATGGGGCTGCAGAGCGCCTTCAGCATCAACCCAGGTTAGTGCTGCAAGGGGGGGGGCTGCAATGGGGCTGTGCTGGGGCTGTGAATGGGGCTGCATTGGGGCTGCAATGGGGCTGTGAATGGGGCTGCAATGGGGCTGCAGAGCGCCTTCAGCATCAACCCAGGTCAGTGGGGCTGCAATGGGGCTGTGAATGGGGCTGCAATGGGGCTGCAGAGCGCCTTCAGCATCAACCCAGGTCAGTGCTGCCAATGGGGCTGCTGCATTGGGGCCTTCAGCATCAACCCAGGTTAGTGGGGCTGCATTGGGGCCTTCAGCATCAACCCAGGTTAGTGCTGCATTGGGGCTGTGTATGGGGCTGTGCTGGGCTGCAATGGGGCTGCAGAGCGCCTTCAGCATCAACCCAGGTCAGTGCTGCTGCATTGGGGCTGCATTGGGGCTGTGCTGGGCTGCAATGGGGCTGTGCTGGGGCTGCAGAGCGCCTTCAGCATCAACCCAGGTCAGTGCTGCAATGGGGCTGCAGAGCGCCTTCAGCATCAACCCAGGTTAGTGCTGCAATGGGGCTGTGAATGGGGCTGCTGCAATGGGGCTGTGAATGGGGCCGTGAATGGGGCTGTGCTAGGGCTGTGCTGGGGCTGCAGAGCGCCTTCAGCATCAACCCAGGTCAGTGGGGCTGCAAGGGGGCTGCATTGGGGCTGTGCTGGGCTGCAATGGGGCTGCAGAGCGCCTTCAGCATCAACCCAGGTCAGTGCTGGTAATGGGGCCTTCAGCATCAACCCAGGTTAGTGCTGCATTGGGGCTGCAATGGGGCTGCGATGGGGCTGCAGAGCGCCTTCAGCATCAACCCAGGTCAGTGCTGCAATGGGGCCTTCAGCATCAACCCAGGTCAGTGCTGCAATGGGGCCTTCAGCATCAACCCAGGTCAGTGGGGCTGCAATGGGGCTGTGTATGGGGCTGCAATGGGGCTGTGCTGGGCTGCAATGGGGCCTTCAGCATCAACCCAGGTCAGTGCTGCAGGGGGGCTGCAATGGGGCTGCTGCATTGGGGCTGCAATGGGGCTGTGAATGGGGCTGCAATGGGGCTGTGCTAGGGCTGCATTGGGGCCTTCAGCATCAACCCAGGTCAGTGGGGCTGCAATGGGGCTGCTGCAATGGGGCTGCTGCATTGGGGCTGTGTATGGGGCTGCAGAGCGCCTTCAGCATCAACCCAGGTCAGTGCTGGTAATGGGGCTGCCATGGGGCTGCAATGGGGCTGTGAATGGGGCTGTGAATGGGGCTGTGAATGGGGCTGCAGAGCACCTTCAGCATCAACCCAGGTTAGTGCTGTCAATGGGGCTGCAATGGGGCTGTGCTAGGGCTGCAATGGGGCCTTCAGCATCAACCCAGGTCAGTGCTGGTAATGGGGCTGTGCTAGGGCTGCAATGGGGCTGCAATGGGGCTGCAGAGCGCCTTCAGCATCAACCCAGGTTAGTGCTGCAATGGGGCTGCAATGGGGCTGTGCTAGGGCTGCAATGGGGCTGTGATGGGGCTGCAATGGGGCTGTGAATGGGGCTGTGAATGGGGCTGCAATGGGGCTGCTGCATTGGGGCTGTGATGGGGCTGCAGAGCGCCTTCAGCATCAATCCAGGTTAGTGGGGCTGCAATGGGGCTGTGCTAGGGCTGCATTGGGGCCTTCAGCATCAACCCAGGTCAGTGGGGCTGCATTGGGGCTGCAATGGGGCTGCTGCATTGGGGCTGCAATGGGGCTGTGAATGGGGCTGCAGAGCGCCTTCAGCATCAACCCAGGTCAGTGCTGCATTGGGGCCTTCAGCATCAACCCAGGTTAGTGCTGCACAGGGGGGGCTGCTGCAATGGGGCTGTGCTAGGGCTGCATTGGGGCCTTCAGCATCAACCCAGGTCAGTGCTGTCAATGGGGCTGCAATGGGGCTGATGCAATGGGGCTGTGCTAGGGCTGCAATGGGGCTGCAATGGGGCTGCAGAGCGCCTTCAGCATCAACCCAGGTCAGTGGGGCTGCATTGGGGCTGCAATGGGGCTGTGCTAGGGCTGCAATGGGGCCTTCAGCATCAACCCAGGTCAGTGGGGCTGCAGGGGGGCTGCAATGGGGCTGCTGCAATGGGGCTGTGATGGGGCTGCAGAGCGCCTTCAGCATCAACCCAGGTTAGTGCTGTGAATGGGGCTGCAATGGGGCCCTCAGCATCAACCCAGGTCAGTGCTGGTAATGGGGCTGTGTATGGGGCTGTGAATGGGGCTGCTGCAATGGGGCTGCTGCAATGGGGCTGCTGCAATGGGGCCTTCAGCATCAACCCAGGTCAGTGCTGCAAGGGGGCTGCTGCAATGGGGCTGCAATGGGGCTGTGAATGGGGCTGCAATGGGGCCTTCAGCATCAACCCAGGTCAGTGCTGCAAGGGGGCTGTGCTAGGGCTGCAATGGGGCTGATGCAATGGGGCGGCAATGGGGCTGATGCAATGGGGCTGCAATGGGGCTGCAATGGGGCTGCAGCATCAGCCCAGGTCAGCGGCCCAAATCCTGGGGAAATCTGAGAAAAACATGGGAGAAACCTTGGGGAAATCCTGGGAAAAACCCAGGGAAATCCCAGGGAAATTCTGGGAAAATCGTGGGAAATCCTGAGGGGAATCCAGGGAAAAACCCAAGAAAATCCTGGGGAAATCCTGGCAGAGTCCTGGGAAATCCTGGGGAAATCCTGGGGAAATCCTGGGGAAATCCTGGGAAAATCCTGGGGAAATCCTGGGGAAATCCTGGGAAATCCTGGGGAAATCCTGGGGAATCCTGGGAAATCCTGGGAAAATCCTGGGGAAATCCTGGGGAAATCCTGGGGAAATCCTGGGAAATCCTGGGAAATCCTGGGGAAATCCTGGGGAAATCCTGGGGAAATCCTGGGAAATCCTGGGGAAATCCTGGGAAATCCTGGGGAAATCCTGGGGAAATCCTGGGGAAATCACAGGAAAACGCTGGGGAAATCCTGGGGAAATCCTGGGGAAATCCTGGGAAATCCTGGGAAATCCTGGGAAATCCTGGGGAAATCCTGGGGAAATCCTGGGAAATCCTGGGAAATCCTGGGGAAATCCTGGGAAATCCTGGGAAAATTCCGGGAGAATCACAGGAAAATCCTGGGAAAAATCTCACAGAAATCCTGGGAAAACCTTGGGAAAATCGTGAGAAAATCCTGGGAGAGTCCCAGGAAATCCTGGAGGATCCTGGGGAAATCCTGGGGAAATCCTGGAAACTCCAACATCCGAATCCCACCAATCCCTTTCATCCATAAAAACTCCCACACAAATCCCATTTTTAGCAGGATTTCCCATTTTTTTCCCCTGGAGTTTTCCCAACCCCTGGAACGTTTTCCCATTCCCAGAGATCGTCTGTGATCCCCTGCTGGATTTCAACGTCTGGAGCTCCCTGAATCCCTTTTTTCCTATAAAAACTCCCAGAAAAAAATCCCATTTTCCCCATTTTTATCAGGATTTCCTGTATTTTTTTTCCCAACCCCTGGAATGTTTTCCCGTTCCCAGAGATCGTCTGTGATCCCCTGCTGGATTCCAACATCTGGAGCTCCCTGAATCCCTTTTTTCCTATAAAAACTCCCAGAAAAAAATCCCATTTTCCCTGTTTTAATCAGGATTTCCCAGTTTTTTCCCCTGGAGTTTTCCCAACCCCTGGAATGTTTTCCCGTTCCCAGAGATCGTCTGTGATCCCCTGCTGGATTCCAACATCTGGGGCTCCCTGAATCCCTTTTTTCCTATAAAAAATCCCATTTTCCCCATTTTTATCAGGATTTCCCGGGTTTTTTTTTCCCAACCCCTGGAACGTTTTCCCAACCCCTGGAATGTTTTCCCAGCCCCTGGAATGTTTTCCCATTCCCAGAGATCGTCTGTGATCCCCTGCTGGATTCCAGCATCTGGGGCTCCCTGAGTCCCTTTTTTTCTATAAAATCTCCCAGAAAAAAATCCCATTTTCCCTGTTTTAATCAGGATTTCCCAGTTTTTTCCCCTGGAGTTTTTTCCCAACCCCTGGAACGTTTTCCCGTTCCCAGAGATCGTCTGTGATCCCCTGCTGGATTCCAACATCTGGAGCTCCCTGAGTCCCTTTTTTTCTATAAAAAATCCCAGAAAAAAATCCCATTTTCCCCATTTTTAGCAGGATTTCCCGGGTTTTTTTCCCAACCCTTGGAATGTTTTCCCATTCCCAGAGATCGTCTGTGATCCCCTGCTGGATTCCAACATCTGGAGCTCCCTGAATCCCTTTTTTTCTATAAAAAATCCCATTTTTCCCCGTTTTATCAGGATTTCCCAGTTTTTTTCCCCTGGAGTTTTTTCCCAACCCCTGGAATGTTTTCCCATTCCCGGAGATCGTCTGTGATCCCCTGCTGGATTTCAATGTCTGGAGCTCCCTGAATCCCTTTTTTTCTATAAAAAATCCCATTTTCCCCATTTTTAGCAGGATTTCCTGGTTTTTTTTCCCAACCCCTGGAATGTTTTCCCATTCCCAGAGATCGTCTGTGATCCCCTGCTGGATTTCAATGTCTGGAGCTCCCTGCAGCCCATCAACGCCTCGGGGCGGCTGCAGCCGGAGCAGCGCGTGGTGATGGCGGCCACCAGGGTGAGGGGAGATCCTGGGGGAATCCTGGGAAAAATCCGGGAAAAATTGTGGGGAAATCATGGGGGAAATCCTGGGAAAAATCCGGGAAAAATTGTGAGGAAATCTGGGGAAAATCCTGGGGAAAATATGGGGAAAATCCGGGAAAAATTGTGAGGAAATCTGGGGAAAATCGTGGGGAAAATTGTGGGGAAAACTGGGGAAAGCCATGGGGAAATTGTGGGGAAAATCGTGGGGAAATTGTGGGAAAAATCCTGGGGAAAATCCTGGGGAAATTGTGGGGAAAATCCGGGAAAAATTGTGGGAAAATCTGGGGGAAATCCTGGGGAAATTGTGGGGAAAATCTGGGGAAAATTGTGGGAAAAATTGTGGGAAAAATCGTGGGGAAAATCACAGGGAAATTGTGGGGAAAATCGTGAGGAAATCATGGGGAAATTGTGGGAAAAATCCGGGAAAAATTGGGGGGAAAATCCTGGGGAAATTGTGGGAAAGTCCGGGAAAAATTGTGGGGAAAATCATGGGGAAATTGTGGGAAAATCTGGGGAAAATTGTGGGGAAAATCTGGGGAAATTGTGGGGAAAATCATGGGGAAATAGTGGGGAAATTGTGGGGAAAACCGTGGGGAAATTGTGGGGAAAATCCGGGAAAAATTGCGGGAAAATTGTGGTAAAATCGTGGGGAAATTGTGGGGAAAATCCTGGGGAAAATCATGGGAAAATTGTGGGGAAATCTGGGGAAAATCATGAGGAAAATATGGGGAAAATCCGGGAAAAATTGTGAGGAAATCTGGGGAAAATCCTGGGGAAATTGTGGGAAAAATCCGGGAAAAATTGTGGGAAAATCTGGGGAAATTGTGGGGAAAATCATGGGGAAATTGTGGGGAAAATCTGGGAAAAATCGTGGGGAAATCATGGGGAAAAATCCGGGAAAAATTGTGGGGAAAATCATGGGGAAAATCCTGGGAAAATTGTGGGGAAAATCCGGGAAAAATTGTGGGAAAATTGTGGGGAAATTGTGGGGAAAATCCTGGGGAAAATCATGGGAAAATTGTGGGGAAATCTGGGGAAAATCATGGGGAAATCGTGGGGAAAATCATGGGAAAATTGTGGGGAAAATCCAGGAAAAATTGTGAGGAAATCTGGGGAAAATCATGGGAAAATTGTGGGGAAAATCTGGGAAAAATTGTGGGAAAATCTGGGGAAATTGTGGGGAAAATCATGGAGAAATCGTGGGGAAATTGTGGGGAAAATCCGGGAAAAATTGTGGGGAAATCATAGGGAAAATCATGGGAAAATTGTGGGAAAAATCTGGGAAAAATTATGGGAAAAATCCTGGGGAAATTGTGGGGAAAATCGTGGGGGAAATTGTGGGGAAAAATCCGGGAAAAATTGTGGGGAAATCTGGGGAAAATCACAGGGAAATCCTGGGGAAATTCCTGGGAAAATTGTGGGAAAAATCCTCTGAATGTCTCTGGGGAAATCCTGGGGAAATCACGTGAAAATCCTGGGAAAAATCATGGAGAAATCCCAGGAAAAAATCCATGGGAAAATTCTGGAAAAATCCTTTGAAAATCCCTGGGAAAATCCCGAGGAAAATCCCAGAAAAATCACATGAAAATCCCATGGGATCCCACTCGTTTTCCCTGTCCCATTCCCATTATTTTCCCATTTTCCAGGTGGACAGCCACTCGTTTTTCTGGAACATTCCCATTCCCATTGTTTTTCTGTCCCATTCCCATTATTTTCCCATTTTCCAGGTGGACAGCCACTCGTTTTCCCTGTCCCATTCCCATTCCCATTGTTTTTCTGGAACATTCCCTGTTTTCCAGGTGGACAGCCACTCGTTTTCCTGTCCCATTCCCATTTTTTTCCCATTTTCCAGGTGGACAGCCACTCGTTTTTCTGTCCCATTCCCATCATTTCCCTGTCCCATTCCCATTATTTTTCCCTGTTTTCCAGGTGGACAGCCACTCGTTTTTCTGGAACATTCCCATTGTTTTTCTGGAACATTCCCTGTTTTCTAGGTGGACAGCCACTCGTTTTTCTGGAATATTCCCATTATTTTCCCATTTTCCAGGTGGACAGCCACTCGTTTTTCTGGAACATTCCCATTCCCATTGTTTTTCTGGAACATTCCCATCATTTCCCTGTCCCATTCCCATAATTTTCCCATTTTCCAGGTGGACAGCCACTCGTTTCCCTGTCCCATTCCCATTATTTTCCCATTTTCCAGGTGGACAGCCACTCGTTTTCCTGTCCCATTCCCATTGTTTTTCTGGAACATTCCCTGTTTTCCAGGTGGACAGCCACTCGTTTTTCTGGAACATTCCCATTATTTTCCTGTTTTCCAGGTGGACAGCCCCTCGTTTTTCTGGAACATTCCCATTGTTTTTCTGGAACATTCCCTGTTTTCCAGGTGGACAGCCACTCGTTTTCCTGTCCCATTCCCATTCCCATTGTTTTCCTGGAACATTCCCTGTTTTCCAGGTGGACAGCCACTCGTTTTTCTGGAACATTCCCATTATTTTCCCATTTTCCAGGTGGACAGCCACTCGTTTTTCTGGAACATTCCCATTATTTTCCCATTTTCCAGGTGGACAGCCACTTGTTTTTCTGGAACATTCCCATTCCCATTGTTTTTCTGGAATATTCCCTGTTTTCCAGGTGGACAGCCACTCGTTTTTCTGTCCCATTCCCATTCCCATTGTTTTCCTGTCCCATTCCCATTATTTTCCCTGTTTTCCAGGTGGACAGCCACTCGTTTTCCTGGAACATTCCCATCATTTTTCCCTGTTTTCCAGGTGGACAGCCACTCGTTTTCCTGTCCCATTCCCATTATTTTCCCATTTTCCAGGTGGACAGCCACTCGTTTTTCTGGAACATTCCCATTATTTTCCCATTTTCCAGGTGGACAGCCACTCGTTTTTCTGGAACATTCCCATTGTTTTTCTGGAACATTCCCTGTTTTCCAGGTGGACAGCCACTCGTTTTTCTGGAACATTCCCATTGTTTTTCTGGAACATTCCCATTATTTTTCCCTGTTTTCCAGGTGGACAGCCACTCGTTTTTCTGGAACGTGGCCCCGGGTGCCGAGGCCGCCGTCGGCTCCTTCGTGGCGCTGCTGGCGGCTGCCCAGGCCCTGCACGGGGCCCCCGGCGCCCAGAGCCTGCCCAGGAACGTCCTCTTTGTCTTCTTCCAGGGGGTGAGAGCTGGGATTCCATGGGATCCAGCCCAGAATTCCATGGATCCAGCCCAGGATTCCATGGATCCAGCCCCAAATCCTCGGGATCCAGCCCCAGATCCTCGGGATCCAGCCCAGGATTCCCCAGGATCCAGTCCCAAATCCTCGGGATCCAGCCCCAAATCCTCGGGAACCAGCCCAGGATTCCATGGATCCAGCCCCAAATCCTCGGGATCCAGCCCCAAATCCTCGGGATCCAGCCCCGAACCATTGGGATCGATCCCAGCCCTTGGCAATGGGATTTTCCTGAGTTTTTGGGTGGGATTGGGGTCAGTTCAGCTCCCCAGGAATGTCCTCTTCTACCAGGGGGTGACAGCCAGAATTCCATGGATCCAGCCCCAAATCCTTGGGATCCAGCCCAGGATTCCATGGATCCAGCCCAGAATTCCATGGGACCCAGCCCAGGATTCCCCGGGATCCAGCCCAGGATTCCATGGATCCAGCTCTGGATCTTTGGGATCGATCCCAGCCCTTGGGAATGGGATTTTCCTGGGTTTTGGGTGGGCTTGGCTCTGGGTTCGGTTTTTTCCCTTTTCTCCATTTTCTTTCTTTCTTTTCCATTTCTTTTCCTTTCATTTCTTGGAATTTCCTTCCTTTCCCCTTTTCCCTTTTCCCCATTCCCTTTTCCCCTTTTCCCTTTTCCCCATTCCCCTTTCCCTTTTCCCCTTTATCCTTTTCCTCTTTGTCCTTTTTCCCCTTTCTCATTTTCCCATTTTCTCTTTTCCCTTTTCCCTCTTTCCTTTTCCAATTTTCCCTTTTCCCCTTCTGCCTTTCCTTTTCCCTTCTCTCTTTCCCCTTTCTCTTTTCCCCTTTTCCCTTTTCCCTTTTTCCCTTTTCCCCATTCTGATTTTCCCTTTCCCTTTTCCCCTTTATCCTTTTCCTCTTTGTCCTTTTCCCATTTTGCCTTTTCCCCTTCCCCCTTTCCTTTTCCCTTCTCCCTTTCCCTTTTCCCCTTTCCCTTTTCCCCTTTTCCCCATTCCCATTTTCCCTTTCCCCTTTTCTATTTTCCCTTTCCCTTTTCTCCTTTATCCTTTTCCTCTTTGTCCTTTTCCCCCTTTCCCATTTCCCCTTTATCCTTCTCCCATTTTCCCTTTTCCCCCTTTCCCATTTTCCCTTTTTTCCCTTCCCCCTTTCCTTTTCCCTTCTCTCTTTCCTCTTTCCCTTTTCCCCTTTTCTCTTTTCCCCATTCCCATTTTCCCTTTCCCCTTTTCCCTTTCCCCTTTTCCCTTTTTCCCTTTTCCCCATTCCAATTTTCCCTTTCCCTTTTCCACTTTATCCTTTTCCTCTTTGTCCTTTTCCCCCTTTCCCATTTCCCCTTTTCCCCCTTTCCCCATTTTCCCTTTTCCCCTTCCCCCTTTCCTTTTCCTTTCTCTCTTTCTCCTTTCCCTTTTTCCCTTTCCCTTTTCCCCTTTTCCCTTTTCCCCATTCCCATTTCCCCTTTCCCTTTTCCACTTTATCCTTTTCCTCTTTGTCCTTTTCCCCTTTCTCATTTTCCCTTTTCCCCCTTTCTCATTTTCCCTTTTCCCGTTTTCCCTTTTCCCTCTCTCCTTTTCCCATTTTGCCTTTTCCCCTTCCCCCTTTCCTTTTTCCTTTTCCCTTTCCCCTTTTTCCCTTCTCCCTTTCCCTTTTCCCCTTTTCCCCATTCCCATTTTCCCTTTCCCCTTTTCTATTTCCCCTTTGTCCTTTCCCCTTTCCCCTTTTTCCCCTTCCCCCTTTCCCCATTCCCCTCTCCAATTTCTCCTTTCCCATTTCCCCCTTTCCCCATTCCCCTCTCTGATTTCCCCCATTCCCATTCCCCATTCCCACCCAGAATTCCGGGATTTTCCCCTTTTCCAGGAGACCTTTGATTACATCGGCAGCTCCCGCCTGGTGTTTGACATGGAGCAGGAGAAGTTCCCGGTGGGCCTGGAGAACATCGGGGCCTTCCTGGAGCTGGGCCAGGTCTGCAGCTCCCGTGGGAAACGCTCCAGGGATCCTTTCCTGGGAATTCCCTGAGTTTCCCTGGAATTCCCTGAGTTTTCCCTGGGAATTCCCCAAGTTTCCCCTGGAATTCCCTGAGTTTCCCCTGGAATTCCCTGAGTTTTCCCTTAGAATTCCCTGAGTTTCCCCTGGAATTCCCCGAGTTTCCCCTGGGATTCCCTGAATTTCCCTTAGAATTCCCTGAGTTTCCCTTAAAATTCCCCGAGTTTCCCCTGAAATTCCCTGAGTTTCCCCTGAGCTTCACCAAATTTCCCCTGGAATTCCCTGAGTTTCCCTTAAAATTCCCTGAGTTTCCCCTGGAATTCCCTGAGTTTCCCTTAGAATTCCCTGAGTTTTCCCTGGAATTCCCTGAATTTCCCCTGGAATTCCCCGAGTTTTCCCTGGGATTCCCTGAATTTCCCTTAAAATTCCCCAAGTTTTCCCTGGAATTCCCTGAGTTTCCCTTAGAATTCCCTGAGTTTTCCCTGGGAATTCCCTGAGTTTTCCCTGGGAATTCCCTGAGTTTTCCCTGGGAATTCCCTGAGTTTCCCCTGGAATTCCCTGAGTTTCCCCTGGGAATTCCCTGAGTTTTCCCTGGGAATTCCCTGAGTTTCTCTTGGGATTCCCCAAGTTTCCCCTGGAATTCCCTGAGTTTCCCTTAGAATTCCCTGAATTTCCCTTAAAATTCCCCGAGTTTTCCTTAAAATTCCCTGAGTTTCCCCTTAAAATTCCCTGAGTTTCCCCTGGGATTCCCTGAGTTTCCCTTAGAATTCCCTGAGTTTCCCCTGGAATTCCCTGAGTTTCCCCTGGGTTTCACCAAATTTCCCCTGGAATTCCCTGAGTTTCCCTTAGAATTCCCCAAGTTTCCCCTGGGAATTCCCTGAATTTCCCCCGAATTTCCCTGATTTTTCCCTGAATTTTCCATCCCATCCCTGATTTTTTTCCCAGAATTCCCACCCAGAGCCTGATTTTTTCCCTGAACTTCCCATTCCACCTCAGCTCTAATTTTTCCCTGGAATTCCCCACCAGGGCTGAGTTTTCCCCAGAATTCCCATCCCAGCCCTGATTTTTCCCTGGATTTCCCCCCTGGGGCTGTTTTTTCCCTGGAATTCCCATCCCCATCCCTGATTTTCCCTGGATTTCCCCCTGGCTGTTTCCCAGGTGTCCCTGAGGAACAATTCCATGCTCTGGATGCACACGGATCCCGTCTCCCGCCGGAACCAATCCGTGGAATCCCAGGTGAGCCTGGAATGCCGGGAACGTTCCCCATTCCCAGGGAATCCTTGGGAATTCCCTGCCAACCTCGCCGGGACCCATCCCGGGCTCGGAGCCTTTCCCGGGAAACCCAAACCTGCCACAATCCTGGGATAATCCCAGCAAAATCCGGGATCCTTCTGGGGGTCTCAGATTCCCAGTGGGAATTTCCTCTGCTTCCGATTCCCAGTGGGAATTCCCAGAGGGAATCACATCCAGTTCAGGTTCCCAGTGGGAATCACATCCAGTTCAAATTCCCAGTCCAGATTCCCAGTGGGAATTCCCAGTGGGAATTCCATCCAGTTCAGGTTCCCAGTGGGAATCACATCCAGTTCAAATTCCCAGTTCAGATTCCCAGTGGGAATTCCTTCAGGTTCAGATTCCCAGTGGGAATTCCATCCAGTTCAGGTTCCCAGTCCAGATTCCCATTGGGAATTCCAGCCAATCCCAGTGGGAATTTCCATCTGCTTCGAATTCCCAATGGCAATTCCCACCCAATCCAAATTCCCAGTGAGAATTCCAAGCAGTTCAACTTCCCAGTTCAAATTCCCAGCGGGAATTCCCTCTGCTCCGGATTCCCAGCGGGAATTCCGTCCAGTTCAGGTTCCCGCTGGGAATTCCATCCCAAACGAGCTCCCTTGGGCCGATCCCAAACTCCCCATTTTCCGCGGATATTCCAGCCAAAACTCCGGGATTCCCAGCAGGATTCCAGCTCCCACATCCCAGCACCCTCAGCATTCCCGTTTTTCCCATTATTCCCGCTGTTTTTCCCACTGTTTTTCCTGTTTTTCCCGCTGTTTTTCCCGCCGTTTTTCCCGCTGTTTTTCCTGCTGTTTTTCCCGTTTTTCCCGCTGTTTTTCCCGCTGTTTTTCCCGCTGTTTTTCCCGCTGTTTTTCCCACTGTTTTTCCCGCTGTTTTTCCCACTGTTTTTCCCGCTGTTTTTCCCGCCGTTTTTCCCACTGTTTTTCCCGCTGTTTTTCCCACTGTTTTTCCCGCTGTTTTTCCCACCGTTTTTCCCACCGTTTTTCCCGCCGTTTTTCCTGCTGTTTTTCCCGCTGTTTTTCCCGCCATTTTTCCCGCTGTTTTTCCCGCCGTTTTTCCTGCTGTTTTTCCTGCTGTTTTTCCCGTTTTTTCCCGCCGGTTTTCCCGCTGTTTTTTCCCGTTTTTCCCGCCCTTTTTCCCGCCCTTTTTCCTGCTGTTTTTCCCTGTTTTCCCACCGTTTTTCCCGCTGTTTTTCCCGCTGTTTTTCCCGCTGTTTTTCCCGTTTTTCCCGCTGTTTTTCCCGCCGTTATTCCCGCCGTTTTTCCCGCTGTTTTTCCCGTTTTTCCTGCTGTTTTTCCCATTTTTCCCACTGTTTTTCCCGCCGTTTTTCCCGCCGTTTTTCCCCGCTGTTTTTCCCGTTATTCCCACTGTTTTTCCCGCTGTTTTTCCCGTTATTCCCGCCGTTTTTCCCGCTGTTTTTCCAGGTGCAGGCTCTCCTGGCCGCGCTCCGCGGCTCCGGCTCCGGCTCCGGGGTTTCCCTGCAGGAGCCGGGGGTGTCCCAGCCCCTCCCCCCCTCGTCATTCCAGAGGTTCCTGAGGTCCCGGAGCATCCCGGGGGTGGTGCTGAGCGACCACCGGGCCCAGTTCCACAACAGGTGAGTGCCGGGAATGAGCCGGGAATGAGCCGGGAACGATGGGAATGATGGGAACGATGGGAACGATGGGAATGAGGGGATGGGTAAAACCCGGGAATGCCAGGAATTCTGGGTCAAGTAGAATCTGGGAATTCCAGGAATGATGGGACGGGTGAAATCTGGGGATTCTGGGACAGGTAAAACCTGGGAATGCCAGGAATTCTGGGACAGGTAGAATCCGGGAATGCCAGGAATTGTGGGACAGGTAAAATCTGGGAATTCCGGGACAGGTAAATCTGGGAATGCCAGGAATGATGGGAATGACGGGAATAATGGGAATGATGGGAATGATGGGATGGGTAAAACCCGGGAATGCCAGGAACTCTGGGTCAGGTAAAATCTGGGAATTCCGGGACAGGTAAATCTGGGAATGCCGGGAATGATGGGAATGATGGGAATGATGGGACGGGTAAAACCTGGGAATTCTGGGAATTCCAGGACAGGTAAATCTGGGAATGCCGGGAATGACGGGAATGATGGGACAGGTAAAGCCTGGGAGTGCCAGGAATGATGGGACAGGTAAAATCTGGGAATTCTGGGAATTCCAGGACAGGTAAATCTGGGAATGCCAGGAATGATGGGACGGGTAAAATCTGGGGATTCTGGGACAGGTAAAACCTGGGAATGCCAGGAACTCTGGGACAGGTAAAATCTGGGAATTCTGAGGAAGGTGAATCTGGGAATGCCGGGAATGATGGGACGGGTCAAATCTGGGGATTCTGGGACAGGTAAATCTGGGAATGCCGGGAATGAGCCGGGAATGATGGGAATGATGGGACGGGTAAAACCCGGGAATGCCAGGAATTCTGGGACAGGTAAATTCTGGGAATGCCGGGAATTCTGGGGCAGGTAAAACCTGGGAATGCCAGGGATTCTGGGTCAGGTAAATTCTGGGAATGCTGGGAATTCCAGGACAGGTAAATCTGGGAATTCTGGGACAGGTAAATTCTGGGAATGCTGGGAATTCTGGGGCAGGTAAAACCCAGGAATGCCAGGAATTGTGGGACAGGTAAAATCTGGGAATGCCAGGAATGATGGGAATGATGGGATGGGTAAAACCCGGGAATGCCAGGAATTCTGGGTCAGGTAAAACCTGGGAATTCTGGGAATTCCAGGACAGGTAAATCTGGGAATGCCGGGAATGATGGGAAGGAGGGGATGGGTAAAACCCGGGAATGCCAGGAGCTCTGGGTCAGGTAAAATCTGGGAATTCCGGGACAGGTAAATCTGGGAATGCCGGGAATGATGGGAATGATGGGAATGAGGGGATGGGTAAAACCCAGGAATGCCAGGGATTGTGGGACAGGTAAAATCTGGGAATTCTGGGACAGGTAAAACCTGGGAATGCCAGGGATTCTGGGTCAGGAAAATCAGGGAATGCCAGGAATTGTGGGTCAGGTAGAATCAGGGAATTCTGGGAATTCCAGGACAGGTAAATCTGGGAATTCTGAGGAAGGTGAATCTGGGAATTCTGGGACAGGTAAATTCTGGGAATGCCAGGAATTCCAGGAATTCTGGGACAGGTCAAATATCTGAGAATGCCAGGAATTGTGGGACAGGTAAACCTGGGAATTCTGGGACAGGTAAAATCTGGGAATCCTGAGAATTCCAGAACAGGTAAATCTGGGAATTCTAGGACAGGTAAAATCCGGGAATTCCAGGAATTCCGGGACAGGTAAAACTGGGAATTCTGGGAATTCCAGAACAGGTAAATCTGGGAATTCTAGAACGGGTAAAATCCAGGAATTCCAGGAATTCTGGGACAGGTAAAACTGGGAATTCCAGGAATTCTGGGACAGGTAGAATTCCAGAATGCTGTGGGACAGGTACAATCCAGGAGTGCCAGGGAATCCAGAACAGGTACAAAATCCGGGAATTCCAGGACAGGTAAAATCCGTGGATTCCAGCAGGAGTTCCCATCCCGAGCCTCCGGGATTTCCAGCGGGATCGGGCCCTTCCCGTGGGAATGGCGGCCCGGCGGGGGCCCTGGGAATGCTCGGAAGAGCGGCAGGGAATTGCTCGGACAGGCGAGAGGAAATTCCGGCTTTTTCTGGGAGAACGTTCCTGGCCCCGGGCCCGGCGGGGCCGCAGCTGCGCTTCCGGAGGCTGCTCCCGGAATTTTCCATGGAATTTCCGCCCGGCTGCTCCCCCTCCCCTCCCAGGGGTTTGTTTTTTTGGGATCACCCCCCGTGACCCCGGCCCGGTTTTCCCCAAGGAATTCTGGGAGTCCCAAAAACCCCAAATCCCCAGCTCTGGGATCCCTTGGGACCGTCCCGGCTTTCCCGGGAATCTGGAATTCCCTTGGATCAGCCATTGATGGGCAGTGAATCGGTAAAACCCCTTGGAATTCCCATCTTTTCCTTTGGGATCCTTTGGGAATTTTTCCCCTTCCCGGCTCGTGGGAATGGGCTCTGAAATCCCGACCGCAGCCTGGAAAATTCCAGGCAGGAGGAGCAAATTCCGAGCCCTCCTCGTTGATCCCAGAAAATCCCTCGGGAGAAGCTTCGGAATTCCGGCCTCTCCTCATCAAACTCCCGGGAATGGGGAATCCCAGGTCCCTTTTCCAGCGGGGTTTTCCATCCAGGATGGGAATTCCAGCCCCATCCCGGGTTTTTCCCGGATTTTTCCTGGATTTTTCCCGGGTTTTGTTCCCAGGTACTTCCAGAGCATCTACGACACGGCCGAGAGCATCGGGATGCGTTATCCCGAGGGAATGAGCCCCGAGGAGCAGCTGGACTTCGTCACCGACACCGCCAAGGTCCCGCGGCATTCCCGGGATTCTGGGGATTCCTGGGAATTCTGGGGATTCCTGGGGGATCCGGGCATTCCTGGGGTTTGGGATCCGGGCGATTCCTGGGGCTTCAGATTCAGGGTCTGGGGGTTGGGATCCAAGGAATTCTTGGGGTTTGGGATCTGGGATCCAAGGGATTCCTGGGATTTGGGATCCAAGGAATTCTTGGGGTTTGGGATCTGGGATCCAAGGGATTCCTGGGATTTGGGATCCAAGGAATTCTTGGGGTTTGGGATTTCAGATCCAGGGGATTCCTGGGATTTGGGGTTTGGGATCCAGGGGATTCTTGAGTTTTGGGATCCAGGGAATTTGGGATTTCAGATCCAGGGGATTCCTGGGGTTTGGGATCTGCGACTTGGGATCCAGGGGATTCCTGGGGTTTGGGATTTCAGATCCAGGGGATTCCTGGGATTTGGGATCTGGGATCCAGGGGATTCCTGGGATTTGGGGTTTGGGATCCAGGGGATTCCTGGGGTTTGGGATTTCAGATCCAGGGGATTCCTGGGGTTTGGGGTTTGGGATCCAGGGGATTCCTGGGGTTTGGGATTTCAGATCCAGGGGATTCCTGGGATTTGGGATCCAGGATTTGAGATCCAGGGGATTCCTGGGATTTGGAATTTGGGGTTTGGGATCCAGGGGATTCCTGGGGTTTGGGGTTTGAGATCCAGGGGATTCCTGGGGTTTGGGATCTGGGATTTGGAATCTGGGATTTCAGATCCAGGGGATTCCTGGGGTTTGGGATCTGGGATTTGGGATCCAGGGGATTCCTGGGGTTTGGGATTTCAGATCCAGGGGATTCCTGGGATTTGGGATCTGGGATTTGGGATCCAGGGGATTGCTGGGATTCAGGATCCAGGCAGGGACGGGAATTGGAGAGGAGGGAAAAGTGGGAAGAAGGTGGGAAGGAGCTGGGAGGGATTTGGGAATGGGGAAAGGGAGAAAAGCTTGGAGAAGAGGTGGGAATAAATCCCGAGGGATTTGGGACTGGGGAGAGGAGGGAAAAGCCGGGAATGGGGGCGGGAAGGGCCCGGGAGCGTTGGGATGGGGGAGCTCCGGGCCGGACGCTGATCCTGGGGATTCCCGGGATGGATTCCCGGGATTCCCACAATTCCCGGAATTCCCGGGATTCCCGTGATTTATTCCCGGAATTCCCGGGATTCCCACAATTCCCATGATTTATTCCCGTGACTCCCGGGTGCGTTGGGCTCTGCAGGCCCTGGCCCAGGTGGCCACGGCGCTGGCCCGGGCCCTGTTCACCCTGGCCGGGGGAGAAAACGGAACCGAGAGCATCCGGGCACAGGAGAAAACGGTAGGAATTGTGCTGGGAATGATGGGAATGGTGGGAATGGTGGGAATGATTGATGGGAATGGATGGTGGGAATGGATGGTGGGAATGGTGGGAATGGATGGTGGGAATGATGGGAATGGATGGTGGGAATGGATGATGGGAATGGATGGTGGGAATGATTGGTGGGAATGATGGGAATGATGGGAATGGATGGTGGGAATGATGGGAATGGATGATGGGAATGATTGATGGGAATGGATGATGGGAATGGATGATGGGAATGATGGGAATGATGGGAATGGATGGTGGGAATGGTGGGAATGGTGGGAATGGATGGTGGGAATGGTGGGAATGGATGGTGGGAATGATGGGAATGATTGATGGGAATGGATGATGGGAATGGATGATGGGAATGAATGATGGGAATGGATGGTGGGAATGATGGGAATGGATGATGGGAATGGATGGTGGGAATGGTGGGAATGGATGGATGGGAATGAATGCTGGGAATGAATGATGGGAATGAATGATGGGAATGGTGGGAATGGTGGGAATGGTGGGAATGGGTGGTGGGAATGATGGGAATGATTGATGGGAATGAATGATGGGAATGGATGGTGGGAATGATGGGAATGATGGGAATGGATGATGGGAATGGATGATGGGAATGATGGGAATGGATGATGGGAATGGATGATGGGAATGATGGGAATGGATGATGGGAATGGATGGTGGGAATGATGGGAATGGATGGTGGGAATGGATGGTGGGAATGATGGGAATGATTGATGGGAATGATGGGAATGGATGATGGGAATGGATGATGGGAATGGATGATGGGAATGGATGGTGGGAATGATGGGAATGGATGGTGGGGATGGATGGTGGGGATGGATGGTGGGAATGGATGGTGGGAATGATGGGAATGGATGATGGGAATGGATGGGAATGGATGGTGGGAATGATGGGAATGGATGATGGGAATGGATGATGGGAATGGATGATGGGAATGATGGGAATGGATGGTGGGAATGATGGGAATGATGGGAATGAATGATGGGAATGGATGGTGGGAATGGATGGTGGGAATGATGGGAATGATGGGAATGATTGATGGGAATGATGGGAATGATGGGAATGAATGATGGGAATGGATGGTGGGAATGGATGGTGGGAATGATGGGAATGATGGGAATGATTGATGGGAATGATGGGAATGATGGGAATGGTGGGAATGGATGGTGGGAATGATTGATGGGAATGATTGATGGGAATGAATGATGGGAATGATGGGAATGATGGGAATGGATGATGGGAGTTGCTGCTGGGAAATGATGAGAATTCCTGATGGGAATTCCTACTGGGAAGGATGGGAGTGCTGGGAATTCCTGCTGGGAGTGCTGGGAATTCCTGCTGGGGATGACAGGAATTTCTGCTGGGAATTCCTGCTGAGAGTGTTGGGAATTCCTGATGGGAATTCCTGGTGGGAATTCCTGCTGGGAATGCTGCGGTGGGAATCCGCAGTCGGCCTGGCATCCCCAGTTTCCCTGGAATGCCCAATTTTCATGGAGTCTGTGGGATTAAAATCCCCAATTTCCCTGGAATTCAAATCCCCCGTTCTTTACTGAAATCCCTGGAGCCGGAATCCCCAAAAATCCCTGGAATCAGAATCCCCAAAAATCCCTGGAATCAGAATCCCCGATTTTCCCTGGGATCCCTGGAATCAGAATCCCCGATTTTCCCGGGATTCCCCCATTTTCCCGGGATTCCCCATTTTCCCGGGATCCCCGATTTCCCTGGAATTCCCCATTTTCCCGGGATTTCCCCCAGGTCACTCGGCTGCTCTATGGGTTCCTGCTCAACTCCAACAACTCCTGGTTCCAGTCCCTGATCAAACCCGACCAGAAGGGGATCCTGGGTGAGGAGAGGGCCCCGTTCCCGCTTTTCCTGATGGGATTCCCGGCTGGAATTCCCCTTTTTCCGGCTGGAATTCCCATGAGCTGGGATCCCCATTTTTCCCTGCCCGTAATTCCCATTTTCCCGTCTCCAATTCCCGTTTTTTCCCAGTTATAATCCCCATCTTTCCTGGCTGCGATTCCTGTTGTTCCCCTCTCCAATCCCCGTTTTTCCAGTTGTGATTCCCCAGAGCCGGAATTCCCATTCCCAATCCCATTTCTCCCAATCCCCAGGACCAGAATTCCCATTCCCAATCCCATTTTTCCCATTCTCCAGAGCTGGAATTCCTGTTCCCAGTCCCATTTTTCCCATTCCCCAGCTGGATTTCCCGATCCCCAGCCATAATTCCCATTCCCAATCCCATTTTATCCCGTTTTTCCCTTTCCCATTTTTCCCATTCCCAATCCCATTTTTCCTGTTCCCAATCCCAGTTTCCCCATTCCCAATCCCATTTTTCCCATTCCCCGGAGCTGTAATTCCCATTCCCAATCCTGTTTTTCCCATTCCAAATCCCATTTTTCCCCTTCCCAATCCCATTTTCCCCATTCCCCAGAGCTGTAATTCCCATTCCCAATCCCATTTTCCCAGTTCCCAATCCCATTTTTCCTCTTCCCAATTCCGTTTTCCCAATTCCCCAGAGCTGTAATTCCCGTTCCCAATCCCATTTTTCCCATTTTTTCCCGTTCCCAATCCCATTTTTCCCCATTCCCCAGAGCTGTAATTCCCGTTCCCAATCCCATTTTTCCCATTTTTTCCCATTCCCAATCCCATTTTTCCCCATTCCCCAGAGCTGTAATTCCCATTCCCAATCCCATTTTCCCCGTTCCCAATCCCATGTTTCCCATTCCCAATCCCGTTTCCCCATTCCCCAGAGCTGTAATTCCCATTTTTCCCATTCCCAATCCCGTTTCCCCATTCCCCAGAGCTGTAATTCCCGTGTTTCCCATTTTTCCCATTTTTCCCATTTTTCCCGTGTTTCCAGGCCCGTTTCCCCAGCACTACGTGGCCGTGTCCAGCCCCACCAACACCACGCAGCTGCTGCAGGCGGTGCTGGGGAACCTGACCGGGAGCAGCGCCAACCTGAGCCGGGAGCAGTGCCAGAATCCCGGGAAAACGCCGGGAACCCTGCCCGAGGTGGGAATTGGGATCGTGGGATTGGGATTGGGGTAATGGGAGCAGTGCCAGAATCCCGGGAAAACACCGGGAACGCTGCCCGAGGTAATCCGGGATTGGGATCGTGGGATTGGGATCATGGGAGCAGTGCCAGAATCCCGGGAAAACACCGGGAACCCTGCCCGAGGTGGGATTGGGATCATGGGATTGGGATTGGGATCATGGGATTGGGGTAACGGGAGCAGTGCCAGAATCCCGGGAAAACCCCGGGAACCCTGCCCGAGGTGGGAATTGGGATCATGGGATTGGGATTGGGATCGTGGGATTGGGGTAACGGGAGCAGTGCCAGAATCCCGGGAAAACCCCGGGAACCCTGCCCGAGGTAATCCGGGATTGGGATTGGGATTGGGGTAATGGGAGCAGTGCCAGAATCCCGGGAAAACCCCGGGAACGCTGCCCAAGGTAATCCGGGATTGGGAAGGGTATTTGGGTTTTTCCATGTGTAATTCCCATTTTCCCAGCTCTCATTCCCATTTTCCCAGCTGTAATCCCCATTTTCCCTGTGTACTTCCCATTTTTATTCCCGTTTTCCCAGCTGTAATTCCCATTTTCCCCGTGCCTTTCCCAGCTGTAGTTCCCGTTTCTCTGTGTGTAATTCCCACTTTTCCCTGTGTCATTCCCATTTTTCTCAGCTGTAATTCCCATTTTCCCTGTGCCATTCCCAGCTCTCATTCCCATTTTCCCTGTGCCATTTTCCCAGCTGTAATTCCCATTTCTCTGTGTGTAATTCCCATTTTCCCTGTGCCATTTTCCCAGCTGTAATTCCCATTTTTCCCTGTGCCATTCCCAGCTCTCATTCCCATTTTCCCTGTGCCATTTTCCCAGCTGTAATTCCCGGTTTCCCAGCTGTAATTCCCATTTTCCCCGTGCCATTTTCCCAGCTGTAATTCCCGTTTTTCCCTGTGTAATTCCCATTTTCCCAGCTCTCATTCCCATTTTCCCTGTGCCATTTTCCCAGCTGTAATTCCCATTTTTCCCTGTGTAATTCCCATTTTCCCTGTGCCATTTTCCCAGCTGTAATTCCCATTTTTCCGTGTTTAATTCCCGTTTTCCCTGTGCCATTCCCAGCTGTAATTCCCATTTTCCCAGCTGTAATTCCCATTTTCCCCATGCCTTTCCCAGCTGTACGAGTACTGGTGGGTGCAGGGTCCCCTGGACGGGAATTCCTCGTCCCGCGTTCCCGGCTGTGTCCGTTCCGGTGTCCGTCTGTCCCTGGCTGTCATTCCCGATTTTCCCAGCTGTCATTCCCGATTTTCCCAGCTGTAATTCCCAATTTTCCCCATGCCTTTCCCAGCTGTACGAGTACTGGTGGGTGCAGGGCCCCCTGGACGGGAATTCCTCGTCCCGCGTTCCCGGCTGTGTCCGCTCCGGTGTCCGTCTGTCCCTGGCTGTCATTCCCAATTTTCCCAGCTGTAATTCCCGATTTTCCCAGCTGTAATTCCCGTTTTTCCCTGTGTAATTCCCGTTTTTCCCTGTGCCATTTTCCCAGCTGTAATTCCCGTTTTTCCGTGTGTAATTCCCATTTTCCCTGTGCCATTCCCATTTTCCCAGCTGTAATTCCCATTTTTCCCTGTGTAATTCCCAATTTTCCCTGTGCCTTTCCCAGCTGTACGAGTACTGGTGGGTGCAGGGTCCCCTGGACGGGAATTCCTCGTCCCGCGTTCCCGGCTGTGTCCGTTCCGGTGTCCGTCTGTCCCTGGCTGTCATTCCCGATTTTCCCAGCTGTAATTCCTGATTTTCCCAGCTGTAATTCCCGTTTTTCCCTGTGCCATTCCCATTTTCCCAGCTGTACGAGTACTGGTGGGTGCAGGGTCCCCTGGACGGGAATTCCTCATCCCGCGTTCCCGGCTGTGTCCATTCCGGTGTCCGTCTGTCCCTGGCTGTCATTCCCGTTTTTCCCTGTGTAATTCCCATTTTTCCGTGTGTAATTCCCGTTTTTCCCCATGCCTTTCCCAGCTGTACGAGTACTGGTGGGTTCAGGGTCCCCTGGATGGGAATTCCTCGTCGCGCGTTCCCGGCTGTGTCCGCTCCGGTGTCCGTCTGTCCCTGGCTGTCATTCCCGATTTTCCCAGCTGTAATTCCCGTTTTTCCCAGCTGTAATTCCCATTTTTCCCCATGCCTTTCCCAGCTGTACGAGTACTGGTGGGTTCAGGGTCCCCTGGATGGGAATTCCTCGTCCCGCGTTCCCGGCTGTGTCCGTTCCGGTGTCCGTCTGTCCCCCGCGCTGTCCCCGGCCTTCGAGCTGCGCCGCTGGGATTCCCGGGAATTCTCCACCTGGACCGAGAGCCGCTGGAAGGACATCAGGGCCCGCATCTTCCTGGTGGCCAGCAGGGAGCTGGAGGTGACCCGGGGGACACCCGGGGGACACCCGGGGGACAGGGACACCAAGGGACACAGGGACACCGGGATGGGACACAGAGACAGGGACACTGAGGGGACACGGGGACAGGGATATGGGGACAGGGTTGGGACACAGGGACACCCAGGGGACACAGGGACACTGGGATGGGACACCCAGGGGACATGGGGACAGGGACACAGGGATGGGACACAGGGACACCAAGGGACACAGGGACACAGAAACAGGGACATAGGGACACCCAGGGGACACAGGGACAGGGACACAGGGACAGGGACACAGGGACAGGGACAGCCAGGGAACACAGGGACACCAAGGGGACACAGGGACAGGGGCACCGGGATGGGACACAGGGACACCAAGGGGACCCAGGGGACACAGGGACAGGGACACTGAGGGGACACGGGGACAGGGATATGGGGACAGGGACCCAGGGACACCCAGGGGACACGGGGACAGGCCCACAGGGACAGGGACAGGGATGGGACACAGAGACACAGACACAGGGACACCAAGGGACACGGACACAGGGACACCCAGGGGACACAGAGACACAGAGACAGGGACACTGAGGGGACACAGGGACAGGGATATGGGGACAGGGACACAGGGAGGGGACACGGGGACACCCAGGGGACACAGGGACACGGAGACAGGGACACCAAGGGAACAGGGATATGGGGACAGGGATGGGACACAGGGACACAGAGACAGGGACACAGGGACACCAAGGGGACACAGGGACAGGGACACCGGGATGGGACACAGGGACACCCAGGGACACAGGGACAGGGACACCAAGGGACACAGGGACACCAAGGGGACACAGGGACAGGGACACCGGGATGGGACACAGGGACAGGGATATGGGGACAGGGACAAAGGGAGGGGACACAGGGACACCCAGGGGACACGGGGACACCCAGGGACACAGGGACAGGGACACCCAGGGGACACGGGGACACACAGGGACACAGGGACAGGGACACCGGGATGGGACACAGGGACAGGGACACTCAGGGGACACGGGGACACACAGGGGACACAGGGACAGGGACACCAAGGGGACACAGGGACACTGGGATGGGACACAGGGACAGGGACACCAAGGGGACACAGGGACAGGGACGCCCAGGGGACACAGAGACACCAGGATGGGACACAGAGAGAGGGACACAGGGACACCAAGGGGACCCAGGGGACACGGGGACACCCAGGGGACACAGGGACACCGGGATGGGACACAGAGACAGGGACACTGAGGGGACACGGGGACAGGGATATGGGGACAGGGATGGGACACAGGGACACGGAGACAGGGAGACAGGGACACCCAGGGGACACAGGGACACCAAGGGACACGGACACAGGGATACCCAGGGGACACAGGGACACAGACACAGGGACACAGGGACAGGGACACCAAGGGAACAGGGATATGGGGACAGGGATGGGACACAGGGACACCCAGGGGACACAGGGACACCCAGGGGACACAGAGACACAGAGACAGGGACACTGAGGGGACACAGGGACAGGGATATGGGGACAGGGACACAGGGAGGGGACATGGGGACACTGAGGGGACACAGGGACACCGGGATGGGACACAGGGACACAGACACAGGGACAGGGACACAGGGAGGGGACATGGGGACACCCAGGGGACACAGGGACACAGACACAGGGACACCCAGGGGACACAGGGACACGGACACAGAGACACAGAGACAGGGACACCCAGGGGACAGGGATACAGGGACAGGGATGGGACACAGGGACAGGGACACCAAAGGGACACGGGGATGGGACACAGGGACATGGGGACAGGGACACAGGGATGGGACAGGGAGGGGACACCAAGGGGACAGGGACACAGGGATGGGGATTGGAGGGACACTGAGGGGACACAGGGAGAGGACACAGGGACAGGGATGGGACAGAGGGGACCAAAGGGACACAGGGACACCAAAGGGACACAGGGACACAGGGAGGGGGCACAGGGGCAGAAATGGGACAGGGACAGAGCAAGGGGAACCCAATGTCCCAAATACCCCAAATTCCCAGTATCCCAAATCCCCAATATTCCCAATATTCCAAATCCCCAATATTCCCAATATCCCAAATTCTCAATATCCCAAATTCTCAATTCCCAGTATCCCAAATTTCCCAACCCTCAATGCCCCAAATTCCCAATATCCCAAATTCCCAATATTCCCAATATCCCAAATCCCCGAATTCCCAATATCCCAAACATCCCAAATTCCCGTTTTTTCCCCCCAGCTGCTGACGCTGGCGCTGCTCCTGTCCCTGCTCTGCCCCTTCATCCCAGGGATCCCTGCTCATCCCAAATCCACATCCCAGGGATCCCTGGGTGCCCTGGGGCCGTCCCAAATCCCCGAATTCCCAAATCCCCGAATTCCCAAATTCCCGAATTCCCAATATCCCAAATTCCCGTTTTTCCCCCCAGCTGCTGACGCTGGCGCTGGGGGTGCTGGTGCTGCTCCTGTCCCTGCTCTGCACCTTCCTCATCAACTCCAAGGCCTCGCTGCTCTTCGGGATCCCGGATCCTCCCGGCTCCTCTGGCTACTGAAAATCCCGGGAAAACCGCCTGGAAAATCCCAGGAAAACCGCCTGGAAAAATCCCAGAAAACTGCCTGGAAAATCTGGGAAAAACCTCCTGGAAAATTCAGGAAAACCACCCAGAAAATCTGGGAAAACCCTCCTGGAAAATCCCAGAAAAACCTCCTGGAAAATCCCGGAAAAACCTCCTGGAATATTCAGGAAAACCACCCAGAAAATCCCAGAAAACCCTCCTGGAAAGTCCCAGAAAAACCTCCTGGAAAATCTGGGAAAAACCTCCTGGAATATTCAGGAAAACCACCCAGAAAATCCCGGAAAACCCTCCTGGAAAATTCTGGGAAACCGCTTGGAAAATTCCAGGAAAATTTCCAGGAAAAGCCTTGGGAGGGAATTCCCCCCTGGAGCTGGAAACGCCAGAGGCGTTCCCGGGGAATTCCCAGAATTTCAGGTGGGATCGGTGCCCTGGGTGGGAAATTCCCAAAATTCCCGTTTGGATTCGATGCCCTGAGCGAAAAATTCCCAGAATTCCTGATTGCCAAATTCCTGGAATCTCTGGATGGATCCGGTGCTCTGAGTGGCAAATTCCCAAAATTTTCCCGGAATTCCCAGTTGGACCCATCCTCTTTCCCAGGGTGGAGCTTTTCCCAAATTCTGGGTGAATTAAGGATAAAGGGGGGGGGGGGGGGGAGTTTTTTGGGAATTGTGAGAAATTCCAAAGGGTCTGGGAATGTCCCGATGGAAAAGGTCCCTTTTTTTCCCCTGGGATTTGTAAATATTATAAATAAATCCATGGAATTCCCAAGGAACCTTTTTTATTTCCAGTTTTTTTCCCCTCAAACGCTGGGAACCAGTGAAATTTGGGATTTGGGGTTGGGATTGGCTGGATGGGATTTGGATCCCAAATAATTCATGGAAAAGGGGGAGAAGGTGGGGAAAAGCTTTGGGGGAACAGAGGGGAAGGAGCCAAAGGCTGGGAGGGGACTGGGCAGCCAAAATTTGGGATCGTGGGCCTGGAATTCGGGATAATGAAACAGGAATTTGGGATCAGAGGCCTGGAATTCGGGATAATGAAACGGGAATTTGGGATCGTGGGCCTGGAATTCGGGATAATGAAATGGGAATTTGGGATCAGGGGCCTGGAATTCAGGATAATGAAATGGGAATTTGGGATCAGGGGCCTGGAATTCGGGATAATGAAATGGGAATTTGGGATCACGGGCCTGGAATTCGGGATAATGAAACAGGAATTTGGGATCCCGGGCCTGGAGCTGCAACTGGGAATGACCAAAATCCCGGGAATTCCCAGGACTGGGAATGAACAAAATCCCGGGAATTCCCAGGCCTGGGAATGACCAAAATCCCGGCAGAACTTCCCGGCTCCGTGGGATCTTTGGGATCTTTGGGGTCCGGGCCCATCCCTGGCTGGGATCCCCCATTCCCGGCAATTCCAGGCGGGAATCGCGGCGGGGAAAAGGAGGAAAAGCTGGGCCGGGACCATCCCGAAGGGAATTTCCCGGGAATTTCTCTGGGATCCGCAGCCCCGATCCCGGTTCCCTTTTTGGGATCAGCCTGGAGCCCCCGATCCCAAATCCCGATCCCATTCCGGGAGGATCCGGGGCGGGAGAAGCGCCCGGAATTCCCGGCGGGAAGCGCTGGGACGGCTCCGCTCATTCCCGGCTCATTCCCGGCTGGAATCGCGCCCGGAGCCGCCGCCTCAGCTGCGGCCGCGCCGGGAACGATCCCAAAAAATCCCCTCGGGGCGGAGGGGAGGGGAATCGGGACGGGAACGCGGGGTTTGGGGTGATGGATGCGGATTTGGGATCCGGGATTTGGGATTTGAAGTGATGGATGTGGATTTGGGGTGTGGGGTTTGGGATTTGGGATTTGAAGTGATGGATGTGGATTTGGGATCCGGGATTTGGGATTTGGGATGGGAGTGTGGGGTTTGGGGTGATGGATGTGGATTTGGGGTGTGGGGTTTGGGATTCGGGGTGATGGATGCGGGAGGGGCCGGGAACAATCCCAAAAAATCCCCTCGGGGTGGCCGGGAGGGGATTCGGGAACGTGGGGATGAGGATTTGGGATGAGGATTTGGGATGAGGATTTGGGATGAGGATTTGGGATGCGGCTGTGCCGGGAGCCGCTCCAGGCTCTGTCCCCGCTGCGTTCCCTGTCCCCTCTCCTGTCCCCGTCCCTGTCCCCGTCCTTGTCCCCCTCTCCCATCCCTGTCCCTGTCCCATCTCCTGTCCCCCTCCTTGTCCCCGCTGTCCCCGCTCTTTTCCCCGCTCTATCCCAGCTCTGTCCCCGCTCTGTCCCGGTTCTGTGCCGGTTCTGTCCCCGCTCTGTCCCCGCTCTGTCCCCGCTCTATCCCCGCGGTGTCCCCGCTGTCCCCGCTCGCTGCCATGGCGATGCTGGCGATGCTGGCGATGCTGGCGATGCTGGCGATGCTGGCGGGGCCGGCCCTGGCTCTGTCCCCGCCGCTGTCGCCAGCTGAGCCCCGCGTGTCGCCGCCCGCGGCTCCGGGGCCGTTCCGGGAGCAGCTGCGAGCGCGGCGGGCGCCGAGCCCGGGCAGGAGGAGCCGCGCTGGGGACGGGGACGGGAAATGGGGACAGGGACGGGAGAGGGGGACAGGAGAGAGAGAAAGGGACAGGAGATGGGGACAGGGACGGGAAATGGGGGACGGGGACAGGGACGGGAGATGGGGACAGGGACGGGAGAGGGGGGACGGGGACAGAGCGGGGACAGAACGGGGACAGAGCCAGGACAGAGCCAGGACAGAACGGGGACAGAACGGGGATAGAGCCGGGACAGCGAGGACAGAGCGGGGACAGCCTGGACAGGGCCGGGGATGAGGACGGGGGACCCCAAAAGTCCTGGGAGGGCGGGAGGGATCCCGAACTGATCGGGAGCTCCGGGAGGATCCCAAATGCGGGATGGGGGCGCTGGGATCTCCCTGGAATTGCGGCGCATTTCCCAATTTTCCCCGATTTTCCCCGATTTTCCCCGATTTTCCCCGATTTTCCCCGATTTTCCCGATTTTCCCCGATTTTCCCGGAGCAGAACCGGGACAATCCCAGCAGGACGAGAGCAGAGCCGGCCCCGGAGGTCGCTGTGTCCCGGCTGAGCTCGAGATCGCATTCCCGGCTCTTCCCGGGCCATTCCCAGGTTTCCTCCCTTCCACTTTTCCCTCTCCACCGCAGGTGAATTTTCCAGGCGGGATTTCTGGGATGGAGGCTCTGGGTGATCCCAAAGGGACCCGCGGCGTCCTCGGGGATCACCCGAGAGCTCCAGAGCCTCGGGATCCACCGGGAATTCCGTTCCAGGCTCCCTTTCCCAATTTTCGGGACGGGGAATTCCGCTCCCGGCTCCCTTTTCCCATTTCCCAGGTCCCTTTTCCCGAGTTTCCCGAGGCCGGGAATTCCGCTCCCGCCTCCCTTTTCCCAATTTCAGGACCTGGAATCCCACTCCAGACTCCCCTTCCCAGTTTCAGGACCAGGAATGACTCTCCAGCCTCTCCTTTCCCAGTTTTCGGGACGGGGAATTTCGCTCCAGGCTCCCTTTTCCCAATTTCCCGGGTCCCTTTCCCCAATTTTCGGGACCGGGAATTCCACTCCCGCCTCCCTTTCCCCAATTTTCGGGACGGGGAATTCCGCTCCAGGCTCCCTTTTCCCAATTTCCCAGGTCCCTTTTCCCAGTTTTCGGCGCCGGGAATTCCGCTCCAGGCTCCCTTTTCCCAATTTCCCGGCTCCCTTTTCCCAATTTTCGGCGCCGGGAATTCCGCTCCGGGCTCTTTTCCCCCTTTTCCCGGCCCGAATTCCCGCTGGAAAGCGGCACCGGGAGCAGCTGTCGCCTTTTCCCGGCCCGCGTCCAGCGCGCCCCTCCCGGGGGGCTCCTGCGCAGCCAATGGAATCCCGAATTCCCGATTTTCCATATTTATGAGGGAAGGGGAGGGGGGGAGCGGGAGAGGCCAATGAGGCTCCCGGGGTCGGGCCCAGGGTGGATAAATTGGGAATTTTTGGGGGGGAAGCGGCGAAATTTCCTCCTCGGAGGCTCCGGAGCGGCGCCGCCGCCGCCGCCGCGGGAATTCCGGGACTGATCCCGAATTCCCGTCCCGGATCCGCCTCGGGAGAATCCAGGGAAAGTTTTCTCCTCCTTCGTCCATGGATGGATGAGCGGAGCGGATCCCAAATCCTGGGAATTCCCGGAGCAGAAACCCCCGGAGCCTGGGGATGGTGCGGGACGCGGGGTAAGGCGGCTTTTCCAGGCGCCGGGAATGGCTCAAAAAACCGGGAATTCCGCCCCGGAATCCCGGGAAACGCCTCGGTCCCACGGCCAGGTTTGGCTCCCAAATCCCTTTGGGAAAAGGGCTTTTCCTGGGAGGGTTCGGGAGCGCGGAAAAGGAAAAGAACCCGCCCGGGATCCGCTCGGTTTCCAAGGAAAATTGTCGGGAATTTCGTCGGGAATGGCAGGAGAAGGGCGAGGGAGGAGGTGGGAAAAATTCCCGGGGTTTTGCTGGGAAAAGTGGAGGCTGAGCAGGAATCCTTGGAGCGGTTGGATTCAGGAATTGGGCGATTTTCCCCCTAAAAAAACCCCAAAAAAAACTCGGGGAAGAGGCGCTGGGAGCAGGAATTCCGCGCCAAGGAAAAGCTCCGGGATAACCCAGGCCGGGAATTTGTTTGGATCTGGGAATGAAACTCGAGTTTTCCCAAAAAAACTCTCCCGCTTCCCATCCAGGTGTGGGACCCACCCCGAATTCCCGGGAATCCCAGATCCACAGGGCAGCTCAAGGGGCCAAATCCCCAAATTCCCAAATTCCCAAATAATTCCCGTCTCGGAGTGGAGCCGAGCCGGGAGTGATCCCGAACATTCAAATTCCCGGGAATTTCTTCGGGAGAGCCAGAGGGGAAATTCCCACCCCTCTCAGGCATTTTGGGAGCTGTCGGGAGAAATTTTTTCCCGATTTTTTTTGGGGGCAAATTCCCACCATTCCAGCCTCTAAAAAACCGGGACTGGGGCCGTCCCTGCCCTGTCCCGGTGGGATTTGGGATCCATTCCCGGCCGCTTTTCCCATTCCGAAGTTTTTCCCCTTTTCCCCGCGGCATTCCCGGATTTCCAGGAGCGGCAGCCGGGGATGGGGATGGGGATGAAGATGAGGATGAGGAAGGAAAGGAGAGGAGCATTCCCGGCTCATTCCCGGCTCATTCCCGGCTCATTCCCGGCTCATTCCCGGCCGCTTTTCCCATTCCAAAGTTTCTCCCCCTTTCCCTGGACGCGCCCGGGTTTCCAGGGAAGGCAGCGGGGGATGAAGATGAGGAGGAGGAGGAGGAGGAGGATGGGAATGAGGATTTGGGATGAGGATGAGGATGAAGATAAAGGTGAGGAGGAGGATGAGGATGAAGATGCAGAAGATGAGGATGAAGAAGAAGGTGAGGATGAGAATGAGGAGGATGATGAGGAAGAAGAGGATGATGAGGATGAGGAGGAAGAGGATGAGGAGGATGAGGATGATGAGGAAGAGGATGAGGATGATGAAGAAGAGGAGGATGAGGAGGATGAGGAGGATGAGGAGGATGAGGATGAGGAAGAAGAGGATGAGGATGAGGGTGATGAGGATGAGGAGGATGAAGATGATGAGCGGGGGCGGCGCTCGGGATTCCCTGCAGGCTCCCGGGAGCAGCTGCGGCCGCTCCATCTGCCGGGAGCGGAGCCAGGGGGACAGACGGGACAGGGGGGACAGAGGGACAGAGAGAGAGGGGGACAGAGGGACAGGGGGACAGGGGGACAGGGGGGACAGAGGGACAGAGGGACAGGGGGACAGGGGGACAGAGAGAGAGGGGGACAGAGGGACAGGGAGACAGGGGGACAGGGGGGACAGCAAGGGGGGAGACAGAGGGGACAGAGGTACAGGCAGGAGGGGACAGAGGGGACAGGGGGGACAGAGGGACAGCCGGGGGGACAGAGGGGACAGAGGGACAGAGGGACAGCCAGAGGGACAGCCAGAGGGACAGAAGGACAGAGGGACAGGCAGGAGGGGACAGAGGGACAGGCGGGGGGGACAGAGGGACAGAAGAGGGGACAGAGGGACAGCCGGGAGGGACAGAGGGGACAGACAGGGGAGGACAGGGGGGACAGAGGGGACAGAGGGACAGGCCGGGGGGACAGAAGGACAGAGGGACAGCCAGAGGGACAGAGGGACAGCCGGGGGGGACAGAAGGACAGAGGGAGGGACAGGAGGGACAGAGGGACAGGCAGGAGGGGACAGAGGGACAGCCGGGGGGGACAGACGGACGGAGGGGACAGAGGGACAGCCGGGGGGCACAGAAGGACAGACGGACAGAGGGACAGAGGGACAGGCGGGGGGGCCAGCGGTGCCGGCCGCGGGGACAGACGGGGCTCATTTGCCACACAAAGCCCGCCCCGCCCCCCCGCGCATCCGCCACCTGCCGCCCCCGGCCCGGCCCCCCCCCGTTCCCCGGAGCCCCCGAGGGGCCCTCGAGCCCCCCCAGTTCCTCCAGGAGCCTTCGAGCCCCCCGAATTTCCCGATCCTCCCGGCGGATCCTTTTCCTTCCGGGAGCTGGAATTCCCTGAGTTTGTTTCCCCAAAGTAGATGGGATTTGACAGGGAAAAGCTGTGGAAAATACTTTTATTTTATATTATTTTATATTATTTTATTTTATTTTATTTTATTTTTATTTTATTTTATTTTTATATTTTATTTTGTTTTGTTTTATTTTTATTTTATTATTTTTATTTTTATGTATTTTTATTTAATTATTATATTATATCATATATTATATCATATCATATTATATCATATTATATTATATTATATTATATTATATTATATTATATTCTATTATATTATATTATATTATATTATATTATATTATATTATATTACATTATATTACATTACATTATATTACATTACATTATATTACATTACATTATATTATATTACATTATATTACATTATATTACATTATAATATATTACATTCATTTCATTCCATTATTTGATCTTCCCATGTTTTACTTTATTTTAATTTTTTACCCTTTTTTTTTATTATGATGATTTCATTTTTATTATTTTATTTGATGCCTCTCCCAGCTCCTTTCCCACCCGGAGCTGAAATTCCCGATCCTTCTTTTCCAGACCCGTCGGGATCTGACCCCTGAGGGCTCCGGAGCCGCATCCTGACCCCCAAAAACCCCAAAAACCTCGGGAAAAACTCGATCCCATTTTTATGCCTCCGGATTTATCCCCTGGGGCAGTTTTCTCCCGGGCCATGGAATTCCCAAGGAAAACGCCCCAATTCCCGGCTGGAATGTGATGGGGAGGAGGAGGAGGAGGATCCCCCCACGGGCCTCGCTGGGAGCCGGGGACGGGCGCCCCAAATCCGGGCACTTCTCCTGCTGAGGGGACCCCAAAGCACCGGGAGCAGCTCGGAGGGGACCCCAAAGCACCGGGATCCCTTTGGAATTGTCCCCAAACACCCAAGATCCCTTTGGGGCTGTCCCCAAACCCCCAGGATCAGTTCAGAGCTGTCCCCAAGTCCCCAGGATCCCTTTGGGGCTGTCCCCAAGTCCCCAGTTCAGTTCTGAAGTGTCCCCAAACTCAGGATCCCTTTGGAGCTGTCCCCAGGATCCCTTTGCTGCTGTCCCTAGGATCTGTTTGGAATTATCCCCAAGTCCCCAGGATCCCTTTGGAATTGTCCCCAAGTCCCCAGTTCAGTTCTGAAGTGTCCCCAAAGCTCGGGATCCCTCTGGAGCTGTCCCCAGGATCCCTCTGGATCTGTCCCCAAGTCCCCAGGATCCCTCTGGATCTGTCCCCAAGTCCCCAGTTCAGTTCTGAAGTGTCCCCAAGTCCCCAGGATCCCTCTGGATCTATCCCCAGGATCAGTTCAGAACTGTCCCCAAGTCCCCAGTTCAGTCCTGAAGTGTCCCCAAAGCCCGGGATCCCTCTGGAGCTGTCCCCAGGATCAGTTCAGAACTGTCCCCAAGTCCCCAGTTCAGTTCTGAAGTGTCCCCAAAGCCCGGGATCCCTCTGGAGCTGTCCCCAGGATCCCTCTGGATCTGTCCCCAAGTCCCCAGGATCCCTCTGGAGCTGTCCCCAGGATCCCTCTGGATCTGTCCCCAAGTCCCCAGGATCCCTCTGGAGCTGTCCCCAGGATCCCTCTGGATCTGTCCCCAGACCCCAGCATCCATTCAGAGCTGTCCCAGGGTCGCTTTGTCCCCGTCCCCTCTCCCTCTGACGATGATGCTGAGCTCCGACCCCCCCTCCCTGTCCATCCCCTCATCCCACCCCGGCCCCGCTCCCTCCCCGGCTGCCGGTGCCGGTTCTGGTGCCGGCGCGGAGCCGCTGACCCGCGAGGAGCGGCGGCGCCGGCGCCGGGCCACGGCCAAGTACCGGACGGCGCACGCGACGCGGGAGCGCATCCGCGTGGAGGCCTTCAACGTGGCCTTCGGGGAGCTGCGGCGCCTGCTGCCCACGCTGCCCCCCGACAAGAAACTCTCCAAGATCGAGATCCTGCGCCTGGCCATCTGCTACATCTCCTACCTGAACCACGTCCTGGACGTCTGATCGGCCGTCTGTCCAGCCGTGCGCCCGTCTGTCCGTCCCTGTGTCCATCCCTGCTGCCCACGCTGCCCCTGTCCGAGATTGAGATCCTGTGCCTGGGCATCTGCTGCATCCCTGACCTGAACCACGTCCTGGACGTGTGATTGTCCATGTGTCCGTCCGTGTGTCCACCTGGCTATCCCCTACCTGAACCACGTCCTGGACATGTGATTGTCCGTGTGTCTGTCTGTCCGTCTGTCCGTCCCTGTGTCCGTCCCTGCTGCCCACGCTGCCCCTGTCTGAGATCGAGATCCTGCGCCCGGGCATCTGCTGCATCCCTGACCTCAACCACGTCCTGGGCCTGTGATTGTCCGTGTGTCCATCCACGCATCCGTGTGTCTGTCTGTCCATCTCTGCTGCCCACGCTGCCCCTGTCCGAGATTGAGATCCTGCACCCGGGCATCTGCTGCATCCCCGACCTGAACCACGTCCTGGGCCTGTGATTGTCCGTGTGTCCGTGCATCCGTGTGTCCACCTGGCTATCCCCTACCTGAACCACGTCCTGGACCTGTGATTGTCCGTGTGTCCGTCCATGTGTCCACCTGGCTATCCCCTACCTGAACCATGTCTTGGACCTGTGTGACACATCCCTGTGTCCGTCCCTGTGTCCGTCCCTGTGTCCGTCCCTGTGTCCATCCCTGTGTCCGTCCCCGTGTCCGTCCCTGTGTCCGTCCCTGTGTCCATCTCCGGGTCCATCCCTGTGTCCATCCACGTGTCCCTCCCTGTGTCCGTCCCTGTGTCCGTCCCTGTGTCCGTCCCTGTGTCCATCCCTGTGTCCGTCCGTCTGCCCACCCTGCCGCCCCCCCCTCCCCGGCCCTGCTCCCGGGGCTTTGGAGCAGCAATTCCAGAGGAACTGGAGCAGCAATTCCGGAGGGATGGAGGAGACAATCCCAGAGATTTGGGACTGCAAATCCCAAAAGGTTGGAGCAGCAAAACCCTAAAATTTGGAGCAGCAAATCCCAGAGGGTGGGGCCACAATTCCCAAGGGTTTGGAGCTGCAATTCCTGAGGAACTGGAGCAGCAATTCCCAGAGGAACGGAGCTGAAATTCCCAGAGGAATGGAGCCGCAAATCCCAGGGAGCTGGGACAGCAAATCCCAAAAGGTTGGAGCAGCAATTTCCAGAGAACTGGAGCCAGAATTCCCAGAGGAACTGGAGCTGGAATTCCTGGGGCCAGCTCCCCCTTTTCCCCCCAAACCCTTCCCTCCCCTGTCTCTGTGCCATGAGGATATTTATGGAATTAATTTATTTATTGAGAATTATTATTATTTATTATTTATTGCTATCATTATTTAATATTATTATTATTAACTTATCCACTGTGTCCTTGTGCACTTTTGGGGGGAAAAGGAAAAGGCCCTGTCTCTATTCCCAAACCCTTTTAGGGCCCATTTTCCCCATTCCCAAACCCTTTTAGGGCCCTGTCCCCATTCCCAATCCCCTTTAGGGTCACTTTGCCCATTCCCAATCCCCTTTAGGGTCGGTTTTGCCCATCCTGGCAGATCCCAAACCCCTTTGGGGCCCCGGCCCCATCTGGCCCCATTGTCCCCCTCACAATGGGAACTCTCGGCTCTCATTGAGATTCCGGCCTGACAGATTGGGAATTCCGGCCCTTTGTCCTGGCCTCTCCAAGCCTTTCCCGGCACAATTCCCATTTTTTTCCTCTCTTCCCATTTTATTCCCTTCTTCCCATCTTTTTCCCCCTCTTCCCATTTTTCCCCCCATTCCCATTTTTTCCCCCATTCCCATTTCCCCCCCATTCCAATTTTCCTCCTATTCCCATTTTTCCCCAAATTCCCATTTTTTCCCCTATTCCCATTTTTCCCCCCTATTCCCAGCCCTTCCCGTCCTCTCCATCCCTCTGGAAAATCCCAGAAATCCCATTCCTTGGGAAAATCCACCTGGGCTTGGGATAAAAATCAGGGAATTGCTCCTGGGTGTCCCCAGTGTCCCCCCGGGATTGTCCCCCTGTCCCTCCAGGGGTGTCCCCAATGTCCCCCCCGTCCCCAACCGCCGCCGGGGCAGCAGCGCCCCCTGCGGGGCCCCTCCAGCCCTGCCGCCCCCCTAATTTGGGGACAGCCCTCCCTCAATTTGGGAACCCCAAACCCCTTTAGGGCCGTGTACCCATTGTGGCAGTCCCCAAACCCTTTGGGGTTCATTGTCCCCAAACCCCTTTGGGGCTCATTGTCCCCAAACCCCTTTGAGGTTCATTGTCCCCAAACCCCTTTAGGCCTCATTGTCCCCAAACCCCTTTAGGGCCATGTCCCCAACCCCTTTAGGCCTCATTGTCCCCAGACCCCTTTAGGGCTCGTTGTCCCCAGACCCTTTAGGGCCGCGTCCCCTCCTGCAGCCCTCGGAGGGGAGGGGCGGCCCCATAAAGGCCGGGGTGGGGCCGAGCGCCCCTTCCCAGCTGCCGCAGCCCCATCTGGCCGGGAACGAGCCCCGACCCCATAAATCATCCCGGGGAACGACCCCCAGCCCCATAAATCATCCCCGAGCGGGGCGGGAGCGCCCCGGGGCAGCTGCGGGGGCGGCCCTGGGACACCCCGGGACAGACCCCACAACAATGGGGTCACCAGGGACCCCTCCCCACAACAATGGGGTCACCAGGGACCCCCCAGCACAGACCCCACAACAATGGGGGCGCCAGGAGCCGGGTTTGGGGTCGCAGCTCGGGGGGGGTCTGTGCTGCGGGGTCATTATTTCCGCTCATTAGGCTGTGAAATAATGGGGTGGGGGGCGCTGAGCCCATTGCCCCATAACCCCATGGCCCCCCGCCCCACGATTCCCCCCAATCTCCCTGCCCCATCGCCCCCAGCCCCATAACCGCTTTCTCATCACCCCAGAGCCCCCAGCCCCTAAATCCCCGCGCCCTAAATCCCTCCCAAATCTCCCCAAAATCTCGATCTCTCCTCGCCCCCAAACTCCCCAAAATCCCCCCCAAAATCCCGGTCTCCTCCCGCCCCAAATCCCCCCAAATTCCCGCTCTCCCCTCGCCCCCCGCCCCAATTCCCCTCCCGGCCCCGCCTCCCCATTGAGGCCCAACCACGCATTTCAATCCCACCAATGGCAGCGCGGCTCTCCGCGCCCGCCTCACGCCATTGGCCAGCGCCGCGGGGGGCGTGGCCAGCGCGGTCCCACCCTCGCCCATTGAGCGCTCGGCTGTTCCGGGCAGTGGCCGCGCCCCCCCCGCGCTCCGCAGGCTTTGGGGACCCCCGGGTGTTTTTGGGGGGCTCGGGGGGATTTGGGGTCCCTCCCTTTGTGGGGGATGAAGGTGCTGGAGCCCCCCGTGTGTCCCCAGCGGCCTCTGCTGCCTCGGGCGGTGCTGCTGGCCCTGAGCCCCCCGAAAATCCCGGCCCTGCTGCAGGCCGGGGGTCCCCAGGTGTGACCCCAGGCGTGACCCCAGGTGTGACCCCAGGTGTGACCCCAGGTGTGTCCCCAGGTGTGACCCCAGGTGTGTCCCCAGGTGTGACCCCAGGTGTGACCCGCGCCCCCCCATATCCGCAGGGATGGGGCTGGGGTCTTCCAGCAGCCCGGAACCGCTGGGGCTGAGGGTCGGGGGTGACCCCAAAGCCGGGGGGCTCGGCCGGACCCCCCCAGGACACCCCAAATCCTGAGGGGGCTCGGCCGGACCCAGGACCCCAAGCCCCGTTTTTTGGGGGGGAAGGGGGGGGTTATGGGGTTCAGAATCCTTCCCCAAACCCCAAATCAAGGTGGGAGCAGCGGCGCTGTGCCCCCCCCGTGGGCTGAGACCCCTTGGGGGCAATTGGGGGGGGGTTAAGAACCTTTGGGGGGGCGGTTTTGGGGTGCCGAGACCCCTTTGGGGACAATGTTGGGGTTCGGGTACCCCTTGCGGTAGCTCCGAGCGGGGGTGACGCGAGGTGGGGGCTCAATCCTCGTTGCCCCCCCCCAAAAACGGAGATTGTTCCCCAAGAGACGCCGCCCCCTCCCCAAAAAACGGGGGACCCTCCTCATAAAACGCCGCCCCCTCCCCCAAAAAAGCGCATCCTCACCCCAAATCCCCCCGGCCTGGGGGGTCCCTGGGTGTTCGGGGAGGGGTCCCCAATATCGGGGGGGGTGCGCGGGTGTCCCCCCGCCCCAGACAATGGCCCCGAGGCGGCGCCGGGAGCGCGCAGCGCAGACAATGGGGCGGGAGCGGGGGCGCCGGGGGGAGCGGGGCTTTCCTCCGCCTCCTCCTCCTCTTCCTCCTCCTCCTCCTCCTCCTCCTCCGCCGCCGCCGCCGCCGCCGCCGCCGGGGTTCGGGTGCGGGGGGGACGCGCACAAAGGTGCGGGGCGATGGTGAGTGGGGGGCGCGGGGGGGCTCGGGCCGCTCCCGGGGGGATCCCGGGCAGCGGCCGCGGCCCCGGGGCTGGGCGGGGAGCGGGGCCGGGCCGGGGCCGCGCTCCCTGCGGGAAGGGCCCCGCCAGCCGCGGCTTTTCCTGCGCTGCCGGCGGCTGCGGCTGCGGGAGCCCCGAGCGCGGCGCGGGGGTCCCGGCTGGGGAGGGGGCGATGGGACCCCCCGGGAGCCGCGCGGGGACGCGCTCGGGGCTCTGCCGGAGCCTCCTCGGGGCGCGGTGCCACCCCCGGCACCCCCCGAATGTGCCCCGGGGTGGCACGGCGGCCTCGGAGCGCTTTGTGCCCATCCCGGGGCCACCTGCGGGGCGTCCCCAGGGTGTCCCCGGTGTCCCCAGGGCGTCCCCAGGGTATCCCCGGTGTCCCCAGGGTGTCCCCGGTGTCCCCAGGGTGTGCCCAGGGTGTCCCCGGTGTCCCCGTCACCTGCGCGGTGTCCCCGGTGTCCCCCCCATCACCTGCGGGTGTCCCTGGGGTGTCCCCACCGCTGTCCCCGCTGTCCCCATGCCCTCCCCGGTGCCCGGGCGGGGCCGTCCCGGGGGTCCCTGGGCCCGGTGTCCCCCGTGTCCCCCCCATGTCCCCGCTGCCCCCTGTGTCCCCCCCCTGTCCCCCGGTGTCCCTCCCTGTCCTCCGCGTCCCCCGCTGTCGCTGCTGTCCCCCCGGTGTCCCCTCACTGTCCCCACGCCCTGCCCGGTGCCCGGGGCTCCCTGTGCCGGGCGTGCCCGGTGCCCTCCGGCTCCGCGACAGCCCCGGCCGGATCCCGAGCCGGTTCCTGGATCCCGAGCCGGTTCCTGGGGATCCCGAGCCGGTTCCTTGAGATCCCGAGCCGGTTCCTGGGGATCCCGAGCCGGTTCCCGGGTCCCGAGCCGGTTCTGGGGATCCCGAGCCGGTTCCTGGGGATCCCGAGCCGGTTCCTGGGGATCCCGAGCCGGTTCCTGGGGATCCCGAGCTGGTTCCTGGATCCCGAGCCGGTTCCTGGGGATCCCGGCCTGGGATGGTTTTGGTTTTTTTTCCTTTGGGATCTTCTTCCCCCCGCGGGCGGAGGTGAAAACGCAGCAAAACAACAAAAAAAGAAATCAAAAACAACAACAACAAAAAAAAGGAGATTTCGGGATAATTCAAATCTTCTCCATCGCGGGAATTCGAGGATGGGGCTGGGACCCAGACGGGATCCCGAGGATTTTCCAGGCGCTTTGTGAAGCTCGGACGGTTTAATTAATGAACAATTAACAATTAACAGGCGGCGGGGACCTGGGGGCGGCCGCTGCGGGCTCGAGGTCCCCCCGTGTCCCCTCCCCGCGTGTTCCAGAGGGGTCGGGGACATCCCAGCGATGCCTGGAGCGATCCCACGGGAGGAAGGAATTCCTTGTTTTTCCCCGGCTCCCGGCAGACAATGGGGCCGGAGGGAGCAGCCCCGAGGTGGCGGATCCGGCTTAATTCGGGATTTGGGATGAGTTCCCCGAGGTTTTATGGATTTATTGTCGAGGCCTGGGAAGGGATTTGGGAATTCCCAGCTGGGAATTCCGGCCAAACCCCAGGAGGTGCAGCCCTGCAGGATCCCTGGATGTGATGGGAACGTCCCAGCGCTCCCGGATCCCGCCGGATCCCGTCCCTGCGCCGCTTTTCCGGGATCCGGGACGTGGAAAATGGATTGGGGGGATCCCCAAGGATCGGGAGCTGCTGGAGGAGAATTCTCATGGATCCAAACCCCAGTCCTGGGAGATCCCGGTGTCCTTTGGGGACAGCAATTGGGATTTCGGGGTTTTTCCTGAAGAAAACGTTGGAATTCCGAGCAAGGACGTGGATTTCTGGGATGGTCCTTCCCAAATCCCATGGAGCCACCCGGAAGCGGATGTGGGATTGTTGGAAGGGACGAGAAGATGGGATTTGGGATTTCTCCAGGGAATTCCTGAGCAATTCCCCGGGAATTTGGGGTGGAGGGATTTAGGGCTGTGGGGTGGGAATTCCGGAATCCTGGAAATTTTTTGCTGGGAATTTGGGCCTCCAGGATCCTCCAGGTGCGGGATTTGGTTCCCCAGGTGCTGATCCCAGGAAATGGGGCAGGACAAGAGGGAACGGCCTCGAGCTGTGCCAGGGCTGGAAATTTGGGATGGTTTTTCCATGGGAAAAGGGTTGGGAAGCGCCGGAGGGGGCTCAGGGAGGGCTGGATCCCCATCCCTGCAGGGAATCCCTGGAATTCGCGTTTGATCCATCCCAGCTCGGACTCGGTGACCTCGGAGATCTTTCCCAGCCTGGACAATCCCGGGATTTTCTGGGATTCCCACCCCATTCCCAACCCTCCCCGGTTCCTCCAGGATGGGAATCCCGGACCCTTCATCCGCCGGATTCTCCCTCTCCAAGTGGGATTTTTCCCAGGAAAACTCATTCCCAGCTTTCCCAGAGCCCTGGATCAGGAAGGAGCTGATTTCCCTCTTGGAATTCTCCCTCTGGAGCTGTTGGGAAGAAGCTTTTTCATCTGGAAACACTTGGATCTATTTTTTTTTTTATGTTTAATTATTTTCGCTCTTTTGGGGAACATTTGAATCCCAAACGTTGGATTTGAGGCTCAGGGCTTTGATCCCGAGCCCCATCCCCAGAAAAATTCCAGCCTGGGCTTGAAGACGTCGGGAATGGCGAAGCCTCTCCGGCCCTGGGGGGGTTTTTTGGGAGCTTTGATCATCCCAGGATTAAAAAATGGGAATTTTCCTCCTCCTCCTCCTCTTTTGCATCCGGCTCTGGCTCCCGGCGTCTCCCAGAGCCCGGGAACCCATTCCCGGCCTTTCCGGGGCTGTGGAACCAGCTCTGCTGGAAAAGATTCCAAGAAAAATCCCTCTTTTTTTTTTCACTGCTGGAACGAGAGGATGAGGAGCTCCAGGATCCCGGATTCCTGCTGGAATTCCTGAATTCCCTTTGGGACGGGGACAGCACCTGTCAAATTCATGGATTCCTGGAAAATCCCGAATTTATTTCGGCTGAATCCACAGGCTGGGGCCAAGAGACCTCGGAACACCTGGAAAATCCTGGGATTCATGGGAAACCCCAGGAATTGTGGAAAACCCTGGGAATTCTGGAAAACCCCAGGATTCCTTGAAAACCCCAAGTTCATTTCAGCCGCAGACACCGGGATTCCAGGAAAACTCAGGGATTCCTGGGAAACCCCAAACCTATCCCGGCCGATCATCCAGGAGGACGATTCCCAAAAATTTTGGGATGCCCGGGGTGGGGTGTGCAATCGCTTTTCCGTGGTGCTCCCAAGGAATCCCTGAGCAGCGGGATCCGGGAATTGGCGGGATCCGGGAATTGGCGGGATCCGGGAATTGGCGGCATTTGAAAATTGGTGGGATTGGAAATTGGCGGGATTGGGAACTGGGGAATTGGGAATTGGTGGGATTTGGGAATTGGTGGGATTGGAAATTGGTGGGGTTGGGGAATTGGCAGGATTGGGAATTGGGGAATTGGGGGGATTTGGGAATTGGCGGGATTGGAAATTGGCGGGATTCGGGAATTCGGGAATTCGGGAATTTGGGAATTGGTCCCGAACTGCCGTTGCTCGGCTCCCGCAGCTCCAGGGCGGCCCCCCCGTGCCGTGAGCAGCCCCCCATGCCCGGCCCGTGTTCGATGCCGGCCCCTCCGGAGGCTCCGGACGCTCCAAAGGCCTCGGTGAGCGCCGGGACGGAGCCGCCGCCGCCGGAGCCGCCCGGTGAGTGAGCCCGGGGATACTGGGGGGACTGGGACATACTGGGATGGGAGCCAGCCCATACTGGGGATACTGGGGATACTAGGGGGACTGGGACATACTGGGGATACTGGGATAGGAGCCGGCCCTTACTGGGGGGACTGGGAGCTCGGGATCCAGGCATTACTGGGGATACTGGGATGGGAGCCAGCCACTACTGTGGGGACTGGGACAGGATCCACCCATTACTGGGGTTACTGGGAGCCCAGGATCCAGCCCTTACTGGGGTCACTGGGACAGGATCCAGCCCTTACTGGGGTTACTGGGACATCCTGGGACAGGATCAACCCATTATTGGGGGTACTGGAACAGGATCTAGCCCTTACTGGGGGGACTGGGAGCCCGGGATCCAACCCTTACTGGGGTTACTGGGGAGCCCTTACTGGGGGGACTGGGAGCCCGGGATCCAACCCTTACTGGGGTTACTGGGATATACTGGGACAGGATCCACCCCATTACTGAGGGGACTGGGACGTACTGGGGCCTCCAGCATCCATCTCTTACTGGGGCTACTGGACCCCCAGTACACGGCTCTTACTGGGGTTACTGGGGCAAACTGGGACAGGATCCAGCCCTTACTGGGACAGGATCCATCTCTTACTGGGCCATACTGGGACCCCCAGCGTCTCCCGGCCCCGTTCCCGTCTCCCGGGCGACGGCGGCAGCGGGAAAGGCCTCGGTTTCCATGGAGATCCGTGTGGGATCATCCGGAATTCCGGACAAAGGAATTCCCCCCTTCCCGCTTTGCGCCTCCCTGACCCCTTCTCCCCCTTTCCCGGGGCCTTGGAAAAGGGGCCCGAGGGTTTTTTGGGGTGGATTCGGTGGGAATGGGATTTCCATGGAAACCTGGGAGGCTGGGATGGCTCCCAGGGGCAGCTGGGGCCTCCCAGACTGCGGGACTGGGGCGTCCAGGTTCCCCCAAAACCCTGGGAAAAGGCAGCGGGGCTTGGCGGGATCATCCCAACGGAATCCCAGATTCCCAGATTCCCAAGGGGGGGACACAGCCCCAGATCCCAAAATCCCCTTTCCCTCCTGACCCCAAATCCCCTTTCCCTGAACATCCCAAATCCCCTTTCCCTGCCCATCCCAAATTCCCTTTTCCTGCCCATCCCGAATTCCCTTTCCCAGCCCCGTTTCCCACCTGGGAAAGGGATGCAGGGACAGGAGGGGCTGTGGGCCATACTGGGCTGTGCTGGGCCGTGCTGGGCCGTACTGGGCCGTGCTGGGCCATACTGGGCCCTACTGGGCCATGCTGGGCCGTGCTGGGCCGTACTGGGCCGTACTGGGCCGTCCTGGGCCGTGCTGGGCCGTGCTGGGCCGTGCTGGGCCGTGCTGGGCCGTACTGGGCCGTGCTGGGCCGTGCTGGGCCATACTGGGCCATACTGGGCCGTACTGGGCCGTGCTGGGCCGTGCTGGGCCGTGCTGGGCTGTGCTGGGCCGTGCTGGGCTGTACTGGGCTGTACTGGGCCGTGCTGGGCCGTACTGGGCCGTGCTGGGCCGTGCTGGGCCGTACTGGGTCATGCTGGGCCTTACTGGGCCGTGCTGGGCCGTGCTGGGCCGTACTGGGCTGTACTGGGCCGTGCTGGGCCATACTGGGCCGTGCTGGGCCGTACTGGGCTGTCCTGGGCCGTGCTGGGCCATACTGGGCCGTGCTGGGCCGTGCTGGGCCATACTGGGCCATACTGGGCCGTGCTGGGCCGTGCTGGGCCATACTGGGCCGTACTGGCTGTGCTGGGCCGTACGGGGCCCTACTGGGCCGTGCTGGGCCGTGCTGGGCCAGCCCCAGTGACACTCCCCGTGTGTCCCCCCCCTCAGGTGGGCGCGTCCTTTTCTCCTGAGCGAGGCCACCCCAAGGTGACAAAATTGAGCCCCTCAAGGTCACAGTCGACTTCCTGAAGGTGCCCCTGGGCCTGAAGAAGCCCCCGCTGAAGGAGGCCCTGGCCGCCCTCCCGGGAAAACCCAAATCCCAAATCCTGGAGCGGCACAAGCCCCGGCGCTCCGACGCCATGGACAACGAGTCCCAGTATTCCGGGTATTCCTACAAATCCGGCCATTCCCGCAGCTCCCGCAAGCACAGGTGAGGGACCCCGCATCCCCCGTCCCCACCTTTGCTGGGTGTCCCCATCCCAGTGGGTGTCCCCATCCCAGTGGGTGTCCCCATCACAGTGGGTGTCCCAATCACACTTTTCCCACTTTTTTCCCTATTATTCCTGCTTTTTCCCCATTTTCCCAACTTTTCCCCCCATTTCCCCTCTTTTTCCCCCATTTTTCCCACTTTTTATCCCATTTTTCCCCCTTTTTTCCCCTGCTTTTCCCACATTTTTTCCCCACTTTTCCCAACTTTTTTCCCCATTTTCCCAACTCTTTTCTCCCCATTTTTACCACTTTTTTCCCCACTTTCACCACTTTTTTCCCCATTTTCCCAACTTTTTTCATCATTTTTCCCGCTTTTTCCCCCATTGTTCCTGCTTTTTTTCCCCCATTTTTTCTGCCTTTTTCCCCATTTTCCCCCCATTTTTCCTGGGGTTTTTTCCCCATTTTCCCCCCATTTTTCCTGGGGTTTTTTTCTCCATTTTCCCCCCATTTTTCCTGGGTTTTTTTCCCCCCATTTCCCCACTTTTTTCCCCCCGTTTTTCCCCATTTCCCCCCGGCTTTCCCCAGGGATCGGCGGGAGCGGCACCGCTCCAAGAGCCGGGATGGGACGCGCGGGGACAAATCGGTGACGATCCAAGCGCCGGGGGAGCCTCTGCTGGACAACGAATCCACGCGGGGGGACGAGAGGGTGAGCACAGAGGGGAAAGGGCTGCAATCCTTGGGATCCCGGGAGCTTCTTCCCCCCCCCGGCGGAATTTTTCCCGGTGGAATTTCCCGGCCGAGCGGTCCGGCCGGTCGGGCCGGTCCCGGGGAGAACGAGAAAATGAGAAAATGGAAAGGAGACGCGGCTCCGGCGGCGCCAGGGCTGGAAAACGCCCCCGGGATCCGATCCCAGCGAACCCAAACCTGGAGGGTTTGCCCCAAATTCCCGCCCCGGGTGGGACAGGGGAGGCTGCCCCGCCCCTGGTGCCCCTCGTTCCCAAATTCTGGAATTTCTCCAGCCCGATCCCGGCCTTTCATCCTCTCCCAGTCCGCCCACGCCGGCGGCTCCGGCGCTTTTCATGTTCCCTCTGCGGCGGCTTTTCCTGGGAATGGGGCTCCCGGAGCCGCCTGGGAATGGGGGCTTTTCCTGGGAATGGGGGCTTTTCCTGGGAATGGGGCTCCCGGAGCCGCCTGGGAATGGGGGCTTTTCCTGGGAATGGGGGCTTTTCCTGGGAATGGAGGCTTTTCCTGGGAATGGGGCTTTTCCTGGGAATGGGGGCTTTTCCTGGGAATGGAGGCTTTTCCTGGGAATGGGGCTCCCCGAGCCGCCCTGGAGCGCCCTGGGCTCCTCTTTGCCCCTTGGAGTGAAATCCATGGAACCCTGGAATTGCTTGGATGGGGATCATCCCACGGGCAGGGACGCCTCCCACCGTCCCAGGGCGCTCCGGGCTGGAACTGGGCTGGAATTTTCCAGAGATCCGTGGAAAAACAGGGGGGAATTTCCCAGTTTTCTGGCAAAAAAATTTGTGGGGAAAATTCCAACACGGAAAACAAAAAAAAAAAAACCACCCCAAATTCCAGGAATGTCCAAGTGCCCAAAACCAGGATGAGGGAAAGACACACGGACGGGGTGGGGGAAGGAATCCAGCTGGGAAGGAATCCAGGGGTTTTTGGCTTTTCTCCGGCTGGGAGAGGGGGTTCTGGAGCGGGGAAGGGCCTGTCCGGAGCCATTCCCGACAATTCCCAAGCATTCCCAAGCATTCCCAAGCATTCCTGACAATTCCTAAGCATTCCCAAGCATTCCCAGCCTTCCCGGCGCGGGCAGCGCTGCGGGGGCGTGCCGGGCGTGTTCCTGCTGGCCCTGGCAGCCGGGAAGGGTTGGCCAGGAAATCCGGGAGCTTCCCGGTCCCAAAGCTGCTCCCGCCGGAGCCGGAGCTTTCCCGGAGGGAGAATTCCCAGCGGAATTCCCGGCCGCTGTCCCAGGCCCAGGCTGAGCTTCCTCCACCCTGAGGAGGGCGATGGCTCCGGGCAGCGCTCCCGGCGTGGAGGTGGGATGGGGCTTTGGAAAACAGGGAATGCTCCTCTGGGATTGAGGGGATTTGGGAACCGCCCCTTGGAGTGTCCCCTGTCACCTCCCCAGGGTGACATTTCCTGGAGCTGTGGTGGGAGGGAGGCCCTGGTGGTGAGGAGGGACAGGTGGGACATGGAGCCACCCCTCGGGATGTCCCCTGCTCAGGGTGACACCTGGGTGGGAGGCCCTGCAGGTGAGGTGCCCACCTGGGACAGGTAGGACCCCTTGGAATGTCCCCTGTCCCCTCCTCAGGGTGACAATGGGGACACTCTTGGCTTGGAGGTGCAAAGGATGGGAGGTCCTGCAGGTGAGGTGGCCACCTGGGACAGGTGGGACACGGAGCCACCCCTCGAAACGTCCCCTGCTCAGGGTGACACCTGGGTGGTCAGTGGGAGGCCCTGCAGGTGAGGTGGGACAGGTGGGACACGGAGCCACCCCTCGAAATGTCCCCTGTCCCCTCCCCAGGACGACAACTGGGGCGAGACCACCACGGTGGTGACGGGGACGTCGGAGCACAGCATCTCCCACGATGACCTCACGCGCATCACCAAGGACATGGAGGACAGCGCCCACCTGGACTGCTCCCGCCACCTGGGCGTGGCCCTGGGCGCGGCCCTGGCGCTCCTGGCCTTCCTCACGCCCTTGGCCTTCCTCCTCCTCCCGCAGCTGCTGTGGCGGGAGGAGCTGGAGCCCTGCGGGACGCCCTGCGAGGGGCTCTTCATCTCGGTGGCCTTCAAACTCCTCATCCTCCTGCTGGGCAGCTGGGCCTTGTTCTTCCGCCGCCCCAAAGCCTTCTTCCCGCGCGTCTTCGTCTTCCGCGCGCTGCTCATGGTGCTGGTGTTCCTGCTGGTCGTGTCCTACTGGCTCTTCTACGGCGTGCGGATCCTGGACTCGCGGGACCGCAACTACCGCGGCGTGGTGCAGTTCGCCGTGTCCCTGGTGGACGCCCTGCTCTTCGTGCACTACCTGGCCGTGGTGCTGCTGGAGCTGCGGCAGCTCCAGCCCCAGTTCACGCTCAAGGCCGTGCGCTCGGCCGACGGCGCCAGCCGCTTCTACAACGTCGGCCACCTCAGGTGGGGACGGCTCCTCCCTCCGGCGGTGGCATGGGTGGAGTTCTCGTGGGTGGATCTTCTCGTGGGTGGATGTTCTCGTGGGTGGATGTTCTCATGGGTGGATGTTCTCATAGGTGGATGTTCTCGTGGGTGGATGTTCTCATGGGTGGATATTCTCGTGGGTGGATGTTCTCGTGGGTGGATGTTCTCATGGGTGGATGTTCTCGTGGGTGGATGTTCTCGTGGGTGGATATTCTCGTGGGTGGATGTTCTCGTGGGTGGATGTTCTCATAGGTGGATGTTCTCATAGGTGGATGTTCTCGTGGGTGGATGTTCTCGTGGGTGGATGTTCTCATAGGTGGATGTTCTCGTGGGTGGATGTTCTCGTGGGTGGATGTTCTCGTGGGTGGAAGTTCTCATAGGTGGATGTTCTCGTGGGTGGATGTTCTCGTGGGTGGATGTTCTCGTGGTGGGAATGGGGGTTTTTTTTTGGGGTGGGAAAGGTGGTGGTGAGGGGCGTGGAGATGTTCTGAGGGGGATGGAGGGGATGAGCCTGGAGGAAAGGGAGATTTTGGGTTCCTTCAAGGGGGGTTTGGGGTCTGATTGCAGGGAATGGGGTCACAGAATCACAGAATCACGGAATGATGAGGTTGGAAGAGCCCTCTAAGACCATCGAGTCCAACCTGTGCCCTAACACCTTGACTCTAGCACCCAGTGCCACGTCCAGTCTTTTTTTAAACACATCCGGAGATGGTGATTCCGCCACCTCCCTGGGAAGAGCATTCCAGTATTTTATTATTCTTTCAGTGAAAAATCTTAATATTTTTCACTGAAAGAAATATCCAACCTATGCATTCCCTGATGTAGCTTGAGACTGGGTCCTCTAACAAGGTCAGGACAAGAGGGAACGGCCTCGAGCCGTGCCAGGGCTGGAAATTTGGGAAAATCCCTCCTGAAAAGGGCAGCCAGGCCTTGGAAGGGGCGCAGGGAGTGGCCACCCCTGGAGGTGTCCAAGGAATTCCTGGAGATTCCTCGGGATGACCCAGTGGGAGCTTGGACTCGGTGATCCTGGAGCTCTTTTCTCTGGGAACTGATGGAATCATGGAATGGTTTGGGTTGGAAGTCCCTTACAGATCCACGGGCAGGGACACCTCCCACCATCCCAGGTGGCTCCAACCCAGCCTTGGACACTTCCAGGGATGGCGCAGCCACATTTTTTCCCCGGGAATTCCCTCCCAGCCCCTGCTGTCCCCCGGCGTGTGTCCCCCTGCCCCACGTTCCCGGTGTTTGCCCCCGCAGCATCCAGCGAGCGGCCGTGTGGATCCTGGAGAATTACTACCACGACTTCCCGGTCTACAACCCCGCCCTCCTCAACCTTCCCAAATCCGTCCTCTCCAAGAAAATGTCCGGCTTTAAGGTCTATTCCCTCGGCGAGGGTGAGATTCCACTCCCCCTTTCCCCTTGGCTTCCCCTTCTCCTTCTCCTCCCGTTCCTCCATCCCCATCCTCGCGTTCCTCCCTGGAATTTTTTGGAGGGAAGCTCTGGGTGCTTCCTCCCTTCCTCTCCGGAGTTTTTTGGAGGGAGCTCTGAGGCTTCCCCAGTAAGCACCAGTAGCAAAATGGGGGGGATCCACCCCCTACCCGAAATTCCAGGAAATTCCTGGGGTTTTTTGGGGAATTTTGGAGGGAATTTTTTGGGGAATTTGAACTGGGAGCCCATTTTGGGGCATTTTCCTGCCAATGAGGGGGATGGAGGGGATCAGCATTCCCTTCCCCTCCGGAATTTTTTTGGAGGCAGCTCCGGGTGCTTCCTCCCTTCCCCTCCAGAATTTTTTTGGAGGCATCTCCGGGTGCTTCCTCCCTTCCCCTCCGGAATTTTTTTGGAGGCATCTCCAGGTGCTTCCTCCCTTCCCCTCCGGAATTTTTTTGGGGGGAGCTCCGGGTGCTTTTTTTCCCGAGCTCACCCCTGGCCTGGACGGCTCCACCAACAGAGAATTCCACCAACAACTCCACGGGGCAGTCGCGGGCGGTGATCGCGGCGGCGGCGCGGCGGCGCGACAACAGCCACAACGAGTTCTACTACGAGGAGGCCGAGCACGAGCGCCGGGTGCGGAAACGCCGCGCCAGGTGCGGAAAAAGCCCCTGGATTCCCGGCCTCGGGAATGCCACGGCGGGGCCCTTTCCGGGTTTTTCATGGATGGGGAGCTGCCAGGGGGTGACTCCAGATCAGCCCAAGGGTGGTCGTGTGGGTGCACCTTCAGCCGAGTTGGTTGAAGCTTGGGTTCCTTCGTCCGTTTGGGTGAAGCCCAGCAGGTCCAAGATTTCCATCCCGGATCCAAGGGATTTCCAGCCCAGATCCAAGGGAGTTTCTATCCCGGGTCCATGGGGTTTTCCATCCCAGATCCAAGAGGTTTTCTGTCCCAGATCCAAGGAGTTTTCCATCCCAAATCCAAGGGATTTCCGTCCCCAGATCCAAGGGAGTTTCCATCCCAGATCCAAGCGTTTTCCATCCCAAATCCACGAGGTTTTCCATCCCAAATCCAAGGGATTTTTCTGTCCCAAATCCAAGGGGTTTTCCATCCCAAATCCATGAGTTTTTCCCTCGCAAATCCATAAGGCTTCCCATCCCAAATCCAAGAGGTTTTCTGTCCCAAATCCAAGGGAGTTTCCATCCCAAATCCCCGGGATTTCCATCCCAAATCCAAGGGATTTTCCCATCCCAAATCCACAAGATTTCCTATCCCAAATCCAAGGTGTTTTTCAATCCCAAATCCAAGGGATTTTTCCCATCCCAGATCCACGGGGTTTCCCGTCCCAAATCCACGGGGTTTCCCATCCCAAATCCGTGAGTTTTCCCATCCCGAGCCCCCGGCGTTCCCGGCCTCTCCCGCAGGCTGGTGGTGGCGGTGGAGGAGGCCTTCACCCACATCAAGCGGCTGCAGGAGGAGGAGCAGAAGAACCCGCGGGAGATCATGGACCCGCGCGAGGCCGCCCAGGCCATCTTCGCCTCCATGGCCCGCGCCATGCAGAAGTACCTGAGGACCACCAAGCAGCAGCCCTACCACACCATGGAGAGCATCCTGCAGCACCTGGAGTTCTGCATCACCCACGACATGACCCCCAAGGTGCCCAGACGGGGGTTTGGGTGGGGTTGTCCCGTTTGGGATCGTCCCGTCGGGGAAAATGAGGGGTTGGAGTGAGAGGTGGGGTTGGGGTCTTCTCGTGGGGAACTGGGAATGGGGCTGGAGCAGCTGGAGAAGGGAATGGAGAATCCTGAGGGAGATGGGGGGGCTCAGCCTGGGGAAAAGGGGGATCCAGGGGGGGATTTGGGATCTGCCAGGGGGGGATTTGGGGTCTGATCCCAGAGAAAAGGGGGATCCAGGGGGGGATTTGGGATCTGCCAGGGGGGATTTGGGGTCTGATCCCAGAGAAAAGGGGGATCCAGGGGTGGGATTTGGGATCTGCCAGGGGGGGATTTGGGGTCTGATCCCAGAGAAAAGGGGGATCCAGGGGGGGATTTGGGATCTGCCAGGGGGGGATTTGGGGTCTGATCCCAGAGAAAAGGGGGATCCAGGGGGGGATTTGGGATTTGCCAGGGCAGATTTGGGGTCTGATCCCAGAGAAAAGGGGGATCCAGGGGGGAATTTGGGATCTGCCAGGGGGGGATTTGGGGTCTGATCCCAGAGAAAAGGGGGATCCAGGGAGAATTTGGGATCTGCCAGGGGGGATTTGGGGTCTGATCCCAGAGAAAAGGGGGATCCAGGGGGGGATTTGGGATCTGCCAGGGGGGGATTTGGGGTCTGATCCCAGAGAAAAGGGGGATCCAGGGGTGGGATTTGGGATCTGCCAGGGGGGGATTTGGGGTCTGATCCCAGGGAATGGGGCAGGACAAGAGGGAACGGCCTCGAGCTGTGTCAGGGTGGGAAATTTGGGAAAATCCCTCCTGGAAAGGCCTTGGAAGGGGCTCAGGGAGGTTTGGCGTGGCCACCCCAAGGAATTCCTGGAATTCTGGGGGACAAGGTGGGGACTGGCCCCAGCTCCGACTCAATGACCTCGGAGCTCTTTCCCAACCTGCACAACCCCAAAAACCCCCAAAGCAGCACCACGGGGCCGTTCTCCCCCCTTCCAAAATCCAAACCTGGTTTGGGTGGTCCAGGCCACCCCGAGGTGACATCCCCGTGTCCCTCCCCTTCCCCAAGGCCTTCCTGGAGCGGTACCTGACGGCCGGCCCCACCATCCAGTACCACAAGGACCGCTGGCTGGCCAAGCAGTGGACGCTGGTCAGCGAGGAGCCGGTGACCAACGGCCTCAAGGACGGCGTGGTCTTCGTGCTCAAGCGCCAGGACTTCAGCCTGGTGGTGTCCACCAAGAAGATCCCGTTCTTCAAGCTCTCCGAGGAGTTCGTGGACCCCAAGTCGCACAAGTTCATCATGAGGCTGCAGTCGGAGACCTCGGTGTGATGGGCCGGGATGGGATTTTTTTTCCCAAATCCTTCCGGCTCCAAGGCTCCAAATTTGGCTCCTCCGGCGCCACCGGGACGCGGAAAACCGGGGAAGGCGCTCCCGGCTCCGGCGCCTTGCCGGGATCATGACCACTCGTCCTTTCCTGAGGTGGCTGAGCCCCTTCTCCTCCTCCTCCTCCTCCTCCTCCCCTTCCTCCTCCTCCTCCTCCTCATTCCCGAAATCCGGATCCTTTGGAGCCGTAACTCAAGGGCTAATCCCAAGAATTCCCAGCTTCCTTCTTCACCAGCGTCCTGGAGCAGCTCCGGGGTCCCGCAGACCTCCTGCTCCTGCCCGTGTTCTCCTGGACATCTGTCCTGGCTCTGGCCTTAAACCACTGCCCGGCCCCGGGGCGGGGCTTGGGATCCCAAGGGAATTTTGGGATCATCTCCAGGAATCCGTGGCTGCTATGGAAAAGCTCCCCCTGCTGCACCCCCAGGTTTCGGGAGCGCCCTCCTCGCCTCTGCTGAATTTTTTTTTTTTAGGAAAAACGAGTGGAAATCTGGGGGTTTTTTTTTTTTTTTGGAGGAGCTGAAGGTTGGATTGAGGTTTTGGGAGGGTTTTTTTGGGTGGGTTTCGCTGCTCCCGAGGGGATCCGCATCCCAAATTCCAGCGGCAGCTCCCTGGGGCTTCCCGGAGCAATCCTGGATCCGGGACCCTGAGGGGTCAGCGAGGTCCTTCAGGAGCATCCCTCGAATGCGGTGATCCCGCAGAATTCCCATCGGGATGCAAAAAAAAAAAAAAAAAACCTCTTTTTTTCCTGCCTTCTCCTGGTTTGGGTTTTTAAGGTCACAAATACCTCACGGATGGATTTGGAATTTTATTCCCGATTTTTTTTTTTTTGTTTTTGTTTTTTTTCTTCCCCGCTCCATGTTCCACCTCCACCCTCGCGGGGCCGGGTTTCATTCCAGGGAGGCGTTTTTGGGGTCGGGTTTTGGGGTCGATTTTGTCCTAAGCACTAAAAGAGGGGGAGTTTGGAGCCGGGGGAGGCTTCCCCAGTAAGCACCAGTAGCAAAATGGGGGGGATCCATCCCCTACCCCAATTCCAGGAAATTCCTGGGGTTTTTTTGGGAATTTTTGGGGGGAATTTTTTGGGGGGGAATTCGAACTGGGAGCCCATTTTGGGGCGTTTTCCTGAAAAAAAAAAAAAAAAAAAAGAAAAAAAGATAAAGAAAAAAGGGGATGGATCTTCCTGGGGAGGGGTGGGGAGTTCACAATTCCATTTGGGAATTTTGGGAGATCAAAATTCCCTTTTTTTTTTGTTCCATTTCCGGGGTTGGGTTTGGATTTTGTTTTCCCGCAGAGCCGAGATTTCTGTGCATGCGTGTAGAAAGTTGTAAAATGTCAAATTAATGGTTTTTAATATATAAAGAAAGCTTGGATTTTCCCGGATTTTTGCAGTGGATCGGAGCATTCCGGCAGTGGTAGGAATTTTTTTTCCATTGGTGTTTGGTTGTTTTTTTGGGTTTTGTTTTTTTTTTGTTTGTTTTATTTTATTTTATTTTTTTTTTTCATAGAGGAACTAAAATTGTACAATTTTGTTTTTTTTAATAAAATAAATCTGTTTTGACTTTTTTTTTTTTTTTTAATTTATTTCGGCTCGGGGGCTGTGGGGCCAAGAGTTTGGGGTTTGTGGGGTCGAGGATTTGGGGTCTACAGGGCAAGGATTTGGGATTTATGGGGCAAAGAATTTGGGGGATATGGGGCCAAGGATTTGGGGTCCCTGGGGTCAAGGATTTGGGGTTTATTAGGCCTGGGATTTGGGGTGTTTGCCACTAAATTTTAGGAACCTATGGGGCCAAAATTTTGGGATCCATGGGGCCAAAAACTTGGGATTTTGGGGCTGAGGGTTTGGGGTCAATGTCCAGCCCCTCCTGTGCTCATCCCAGCCCCAAATCCCCCAGAACCGCCCCAAAACACGCGGAGGAAAACACCGGAGGGGGCTGCGTGTCCCGGCAGAGAAATTCCAAGGAATTTTGGGATAAAATCCCACTTTTTGTGCTGTTCCTCGTGCAGGGGACGCCGGAGGGGCCTCGGGGTGGCCTCGTGTCCCCAGGGGGGGCCTGGGAGCCCCTGGGGCCACCCTGGGACCCTCAGGAGCCGCCCGGGGGCGAGTCCGGCTGGGGAGGAGAAAACCGGGAATTGGGAGAGGCTGGAATTGTCCCTTTATCCCAGGAATTTTCCCTTTTCCCCAGGAATTTTCCCTTTATCCCTGGAATTGTCCCTTTATCCCAGGAATTTTCCCTTTTCCCCAGGAATTTTCCCGTTATCCCAGGAATCGTCCCTTTATCCCAGGAATTTTCCCTTTATTCCTGGAATTGTCCCTTTTCCCCAGGAATTTTCCCTTTAACCTGGGAATTGTCCCTTTATCTCAGAAATTTTCCCTTTATCCCAGGAATTGTCCTTTTTCCCCAGGAAATCCCATTTCCCCAGGAATTTTCCCATTTCCCCAGGAATTCTCTTCTGCCCAAGAAGTGTCCATTTTTCCCAGGAATTCAATTTTTTCCCAGGAATTTTCCCTTTTCCCCAGGAATTCTCCCTTTTTTCCCAGAAATTCTCTTTTTCCCAGCAATTCCCTTTATCCCAAGAATTCCATTTTTTCCCCAGGAATTTTCCCTTTTTCCCAGGAATTTTCCCTTTTCTCCAGGAATTTTCCCATTTCCCCAGAAATTCTCTTTTTCCCAAGAATTGTCCCTTTTTCCCAGGAATTTTCCCTTTATCCCAAGAATTCCATTTTTTCCCAGGAATTTTCCCTTTTCCCCAGGAATTTTCCCTTTTTCCCAGGAATTCCCTTTGTCCCAGGAATTCCATTTTTTCCCCAGGAGTTTTCCCATTTCCCCAGGAATTTTCCCTTTTCCCCAGAAATTCTCTTTTTCCCAAGAATTGTCCCTTTTTCCCAGGAATTTTCCCTTTATCCCAAGAATTCCATTTTTTCCCCAGGAATTTCCTTTATCCCAAGAATTCTCCCTTTTTTCCCAGGAATTCTCCCTTTTTTCCCAGGAATTCCCTTTGTCCCAGGAATTCCATTTTTTCCCCAGGAGTTTTCCCTTTTTCCCAGGAATTTTCCCCTTTTTCCCAGCAGTACCGGGGGCTGGGGAGGGTCTGGCTGGTCCAAGGGGGTCTCGGTGAGCTCCGGGATTTTTGGGATGGGGTCGTGGACGTGGGGCTGGACCAGAGCCCCCAGATCTGCAAGGGAAGGGTTGGGATGAGATCTGGGAATCGCCAGGATTTGGGAATTCCGGAGTGGTTTGGGGTGGGAGGAGCTTTAGGATCACCCCAATCCCATGGGAAGGGACATTCCCAGCATCCCAAAGTGGAATTGGGCACTTCCAGGGATGGGATAACCAAATATCCCAATGAGATTGAACATCCCAGAAAAAAATAAAATACCCCAATAAAATCGAATGTCCCGGAAAAAAATAAAATATCCCCATGAAATTAAATATCCCAGAAAAAAAAAAAAACCATAATAAAAAACACCCCAATACAACAAAATATCCCAGTAAAATAAAATATAAAAGAAAATATCCCCGTAAAATCAAAATATCTCAGTAAGATTGAATATCCCAGAAAAAATAAAATATCCCAATAAGATTGAATATCCCAGAAAAAAACCAATAAAAAACACCCCAATACAACAAAATATCCCAATAAAATAAAATATAAAAGAAAATATCCCTGTAAAATCAAAATATCTCAGTAAGATTGAATATCCCAGAAAAAAATTAAATATCCCAATAAGATTGATTATCCCAGAAAAAATAAAATAAAAAAAACACCCCAATACAAAAAAAATCCCAATAAAATAAAATATAAAAGAAAATATCCCTGTAAAATCAAAATATCTCAATAAGATTGAATATCCCAGAAAAAAACCAATAAAAAACACCCCAATACAAAAAAATCCCAATAAAATAAAACAGAAAGTATCCCAGTAAAATCAAAATATCCCAATAAAATTGAATATCCCAGAAAAAAATTAAATATCCCAATAAGATTGAATATCCCAGAAAAAAAACAATAAAAAACACCCCAATACAAAAAAAATCCCAATAAAATAAAATAGGAAGTATCCCAGTAAAATCAAAATATCCCAATAAAATTGAATATCCCAGAAAAAAATTAAATATCCCAATAAGATTGAATATCCCAGAAAAAAATATCCCAATATAATTGAATTTCCCAGAAAAAAATAAAACATCCTAATAAAATTAAACACCCATTAAAAAACCACCCCAATACAAAAAAATATCCCAATAAAATAAAATAGAAAATATCCCAATAAAATTGAATATCCCAGAAAAAATTAAATATCCCAATAAAATTAAACACCCATTAAAAAACCACCCCAATACAACAAAATATCCCAACAAAATAAAATATAAAAGAAAATACCCCAGTAAAATCAAACACCCAATTAAATAAAAATACCCCAATAAAATAAAATACCCCAATAAACCCAAACATCCCAGTTACCCCAGTTATCCCAGTTACCCCAGCCCCACAGGGCTCACCTGAGGAGTCGCTGCCGCCCATGGCCCTGTCCCGGATCCCTGTGACCAGAACAGACCCAAAACTTGGATTTTCCACCCCAAATCGCCTTTGGAAAACCCCAAAACCAGCCGAGCCTCACTTTGGGTTTGGAGCGGGGAAAAAACCCCAAAACCCCAAAAATTTGTGTGAACTGGAGGAGCAAAGGGCAGAGCTGACCCCAAAAGAGGCAAATTTAAGGTCAGACGGGAAATTTGGGATGAATTTGGGGAATTTTGGGATGAATTTGGGGAATTCTGGAGCCGGATGTGAGCACGGGGGAGCCCCCAGGCCTGAACTGTGGCCATGGGAGGGTTTTGGGATCAGGATCCCCCTGGTGGTGCTGCACCCCAAAAAGGGACATTTTGGGGCACTTTTGGGGGTTTTTGGGTGGCGACTTCTGGATCTTTTTGGGGCATTTCTGATCATTTTGGGGCTTGTGGCCTCTGGATCTTTTTGGGGCAGTTCTGATTATTTTGGGGTTGTGGTTTCTGGATCTTTTGAGATTTTGACTTCTGGATCTTTTGAGATTTTGGGGTTTTGACTTCTAGATCTTTTTGGGGCAGTTCTGATAATTTTGGCGTTGTGGTTTCTGGATCTTTTGAGATTTTGACTTCTGGATATTTTGGGGTTTTGGGGTTGTGGCTTCTGGATCTTTTTGGGGCAGTTCTGACTATTTTGGGGTTGTGGTTTCTGGATCTTTTGAGATTTTGGGGTTGTGGCTTCTGGATCTTTTGGGGTCATTTCCGATTATTTCAGGGCTTGTGGCCTCTGGATCTTTTGGGGTTTTGGGGTTTTGACTTCAGGATCTTTTGAGGTTTTAACTTCTGGATCTTTTGGGGCATTTCTGATTATTTTGGGGTTTGTGACCTTTGGATCTTTTGGGGTTTTGAGGTTTTG